AGGGAGAAAGATCAGTAACCATTTTAGAAACAAACTATTGAAAATAAAGAAAACAAAAGAAACCTTAGCTTTTCGCAAGTAGTTTTGAACTTAGTATCCTTAGGGTCATCCTAAGCGTCGGGTTTCGCCCTAGGGCCAAGCCTGTGCTCTGATACCATCTCTTGTCACGCCCCGAATTAGTCCCGACCGGAACTAACCCGTGACGCTCCAAATTAACCTGTTAATCGATACCAGTCCCAGGAAACAGTGCTGGTATCACAGGGAGACAGAATATCACAGCAACAGAAGCCTCTTTATTATAGAGTAGAAGTACAGTCATGTTGGGCTGCGGACAGATCCCGAGCTCACAACTGCATTACAAAAGGAAAGCGGAAGCCAGGACTTGGACCAAACAATCACAGGCGCGACTTGGGAACTAGGCCGAAACCCTAAAACTCATCATAGCCGACTTGCTCCTGGAAGAACTTCTCATCAGCAGGATCCGCTTCATCTTCTTCAGCAACTGGGGGGGAGATATTTATATAGAGCAAGGGTGAGTACGGGAGTACTCAGCAAGCCAGGGGAAATAAGTGTTTAATGCAGGCTTCAAGGAAAGGCTGTTGTTTTTGCAATTGATTTTATTTGAACTCTTTTCTAAAAGCAACTAAGTGAGTGCTTCTCAAACGACACGGTTGAGACAGTGCGTCTCGTCCGGTCGGAGTATGTGCAATGTATCAGTCTTTAGATCCTGAAACAAGGTTGGCACCCGGCCAAAAGCTTTTTGAACGACCACCCGGGCCAACTCTTTTCAAACGGCCACCCGGGCCCACAACTTTTAAACTGCCACCCGGGCCTAGCTGATCCCGTCAGCTGCAGGTTTTCCAAACATCGAACCCAGTTTCACAACAGCAATTTCACAAGCAGTAGTCAAACAAAACTACGCTAGGAATCACCTCACATCCGCCCATGACCGTGGGCACGGCTGTTCGAACAGTTTAATGACCTCTGCAGAGGGGGTACACTTTACCCACACGACATTACTAACCCGGGTCACCCAGCCCGTGGGGATCAGCCACGTCGGGAGACCTCCAAGCTTTCATGACAAGGCATTTCGAAAGCCGATGCAGGTTTACCATATGCCGACGAGAGGGGTCCTAGACCAACAACAGGTTAGGTCCCAGACCATACTGTGCCAGGAAGCCCAGGGGTCCTCCCCGACACCACCCCGGCGAATCCACATGTCTCTCGGCATCAAGGCTCCCCTGATAAGCTAGTTACTCAGCCAGGGGTGTCCCATTCCACCCATGTGGTCGTACTTGTCTTATGTTTGGATGAAATTCCAAGGAATCGGTCCTTAAGTGCGAGAGCGGGAAACCGTACACCCGGTACGTTCCCCGGTCCGCGGTTTTGGAAAATTCATTTAGTTCGCAGACATCGACCCAAGTGTCGGGTTTTTCCAAGTCTTTTGTAAAGCTCCAGTTTTACCCAAGTTGTTACTCAGATTTTAACTTTGAAGGCGACCGTCGATACTCGCACAGAGTGCACGAGTATCGAGGCGCAACTGGATGGTTACAAGGGGACATGGCATAGCAATTAACAATGGAAGGATCAAATGCGACAAGTTAGGTAAGTCCGCCAATCTGCTTCGCAGACGGGACAACAGATTAAGTGTGATCCTATCAATGCATAATACTTTGCAAGCAACATAATTAAATTTCAAATATAGGCTCAAGGTGTTCAAAGGTGGCTTGCCTTGCTCGAGATCTGGAGCTTGATCCTCGAAATCCTCGCACTGCGGGTCTTCGGGCTCCGGAACTACACGCGAAACGGAACAACTCAACAAACGGCGAAAATAAAGCCCTATTAATGACCTCTAAGCATGCCATTAGATAGATCTCGAGATTTGAGGAATTTTGGAAGTTGAACGGAGTCAATCGGATTTACGGTTGGGAAGATATTGAATTTCTAAGATTATTGGATTTCTGGTCTAACGGAAAAAGGATTAAATTAAATCCTTTTTGGAAAAGAAAAAGAAAAGAAAAGAGGGAGGGATTATAGACTTTTCCTCGGGCGGCTAAGGCGCGGCCCAAGGGAATTGGAACGGACCGGCCGAACTAAATGGGCCGGCCGTCCCAAGCGCGCGCGTGCGCGGGGGAGGGGAGAGAGAGTCCGGTGGACCGGGCTCACCACACGCGGTCCCGGGTGGGACCCGCTTGTCAGCGGCTCGGCTCACCGTGCGGAGGGCGCACGCGCGCGGGCGGGGAGGAACGCGGTGCACGCACGCGGTCCGCGGCGGACGCAGATGCGACGGGCCCACGCGCAGCCTCACGGCTTGCGGTGGAACGCGCGCACGGGGAGGGACCGACCGGGGTCGGCTCGACCCGGTCTAAGCTGAGCTGGCGCCGACGTGGCGCCTACGTGGCTGCCACGCAGGACGGCGGGAGGTAGACGACGACCCGGCCGCGAATGGACGGCGGGCGGCGGCGGCGAGCGGCGGAGCGAACCACGGTGATACGGGCAAAAGCGAGCACACCGGGCGGTTGTTCGTGACAGGGGGAGGCGAGCCAACGGCTCGGATTCGCCGGAGGTCGCTCGATGGCGGCGGATTGCGGCGGCGGCAACCGGCGGCGGAAGAAGAGGGAAACGGCGACGAGGCCACGAGGGGTCGATTCCCGTCGGTGAGAGCACCTACGCGGCTTCGGGAACTCGACGCTAGCGTCGGATTGGGCGGAACTACGCCGAGCGAGGCCGGCGACGAGCGGGTGCTACGGAGCTCGGGCGGCGACGGCGGCGAGCACACGGCGAGCGAAGGCGACGGTTGGGGCGGCGCCGGCTAGCTACGGGGGGTCTACTCGAGCTACTACCGAAAGCTAGGGGGAGGAGTTGGAGCGAGGAGGAAGAACGGAGAGAGACATCACCGAGAAGAGGAGGGGCGCTGTGACGAGAGGCCGACGGCGCGGGAGTAATCTCTCCGGCCTCGGGCCGGGGAAGGGGAAGGAGAGGGCGCGGCCGAAGTCCCCTTCCGCGTCCTCGAATGCACCGGCTCTCCCGGCGCTCGGCGAAGGACGGCGGAGGTGAGACAGAGCACGGGGCGGCGGCTATGGCGCGGAGACGAATGGAAGAGGAGGGGGGGTAAGGGGAGGCCGGGGGTTTAAAGGGGACGGCAATGTCGGTTTGAGAACCGACTTGCGCGGTCAAGGCGCGAGCTGGCGCTCCGGCTAGCGACCAAATTGGCGACAGGGAGGATGACGCCGGCGGGAGGAAAAGGGAAAAAGGAGGGGGAGAAAGGGGGCTTGCCCCTTTGCCGGATCGGGAAAAGGAGGAGGGAGCGGGGGGGGCGATGACGACGGCGATGACGGCGGCGGTTTGGAGCGGAGCGGCGACACTGGCGGCAGGCGCGGGCAGGCGCTGACGACGGCGGCGACCGGGCGGTCGGCCATTCGGCACGCGCGCGCGGGAAAACAACAGGAGGCGCGGCGGCACACGCGCTCACGCGCGCGCGGCGTGCGGGCGGGGCGGAGCGGAGGGAGGAGAGGCGCTCGGGGCGACTCTCGCACGCGCGAGCAGCGCGCGGGCGAGGCTGAGCGGGGGGGGAGGAGCGCGCCGGGGGGGGAGAGAGAGAGAGAAAGAGAGCTCGGGAGAGAGAGAGAGAGATGGGCCGAGCGGAATTCGGCCCATCGAACCCCGGGGGAGGCAAACTAAACTTTGCGGAGGGAATCGATTTGAAAGGATTTGGATTCGGATTTGAACTCGACGATAGATCGGGGATTGAGATCTTGAGATGGCACGGACACTAGACAACAAGCAAGGAAACAAATTTCGCAATTAGGGTTTTTAAGAATTAATTTTCCTGCTAGGCGCCACGACGGAACGGGCACTACACTATGGCTCTGCGATAGCCGCAAGAAGGTCGACAAGGCTCATAGGCGAGGCTCTGACACCGTTGCAACTCTTGTGACGTGTACAATCTAGAAAGAAAGAAACAATAGAGTGTGCAACAAACAACAGCGAACATAGCCCAAGGTGGCCAAGGCGATGGCAGCCGATGCGACGCTTTGGCGTCTGCCCAATGCGTTGGTGCCGGTGTTAAGTCCTTAGCCACTAGAGCGGCTGGTCGCCAAATGTTGAGTCAGGAATAGGCTTCGGTTTCTTAGTCTTTAATGTTTCCCGCTTCCCTTCTCCTTTTATTTTTTTTGGGTTTGTTTGTAAAATTTTATTTCTTTTAATTAAAAAATACGCTCCCTGCATATTCCAAAAAAAAAAAAAAGCTCTTTGCAATGTTCAGAGTTCAGACATTCTTGTGGTGCTCCAAGGAGAAATATATTCAGGCGACTGCAACCATAGTACAGACAACAGGCAGCATGCTGAGGGATGTCAAAATCTGAGGTAACAATGTACCACAGTACCAGCAATTTCAATCCTCATTCTTAATTTCCAGTTCTCATATGAAGCGAAACATACTCCCGCCAGCAGCAAAAACAATAGAACATTTGCCACCATTTAGTTGAACGGAGTTAGTAAGTTGTTTTAAAGGACAAATATAGAAGCAGAGACATCCATCACATCATTATTTCTACCCTATAATCATTAATTTGTTGGGTAACTGGGCGCAAAAGGGAACATAGGATTAATGACATATAATGCCATTTAGGAGTACCTAAGAATAAAATTATCAGGGTACTCAAGGATGAAAACTCTATGAACTAGAAATTGCATTGCGAGACTTCAAAATTTCCGCTGCACTGTACTTCCAATCTATCTGTTGACAGCTAAATTTGACACTAAGGAAGAAATATAATAAAGTTTGACCAAATTTGAAAAGAAGCTCGAGCCTTCTATACAAAGCCGTTCTATTCTGTAAAAAAAAAAAAGAATTCCTAGCCACAAGTCTTCTATAGGATTGGTCTTTTTTTTTTGGACGGAGGGGCACCGACCAGTGACCGTTGTAAATCGTTGTGGTGACAAAAGCATCAACACTATATTTTATACTTATACTAATTGAATACTCAAAACTTCTAATGTTAACCTGAAAATGGAAAATTTAGTCGTGGATTAGATAGATAGCACTATCCTATTTCAAAAAGTTTAATTACATGGTCTTTAGATGAGACCTTCTGCTAGAAAAATAGCCACAATGTATACCGTTAGCACTATGACTTCTCTCTCCTCTAGGATCCCCTCTAAAAACCAACAATGAATATGCTCTTATTACATCAGCCTGCAGTGTAATACGGAATCTTGGAACTATCATGCCCTGCAACAAATTCTGTCCCATATGGATGCTTGATACGGTCACTACATGAGTGACAACGCTCATAGTCCTGATTCCTCGTCATTACATAATCAATTCTCCTGTTGATCTCATGGCATCCACCTACAATTAAAGCAACATCAACATATCAAATAAATCGCTGAGAAGGTCCTACAATCACACGTACAAACATCAATAACCTTACAGTAATTACAAATAAGCAAGCATATTAATCAGAATACAGTCAATTGGTCGACAATAATAAACATACCAAAACAAGAACCCTGGAGGTTGTGGATAGAGACGACACACATGGGCTCGATATCATCAGCACATCCAACAATATTAGGATCAAGGCTCAACTCTGCAAAGCGTTCCATCCTCTTTGCCAGAAGATCCGGATTCAATTTGAGCTCTGCAAAGTACAGGCTCTTCTTAGCCTGATCATCATTCTGAGCCCTGGCAGTAAAGTTGACATGGGCGTATGTGGACCCACAGACCTCATGAAAACAGTTTGATAAAAGAACAGTACAAAGCTCAATCTTAACCTGAACAAACAAAAAATAGAAAGGTTAGTAGTTTACAACATTAAGACTTATCATGTCATGGAAAGCAAAAAAAGGAAAAGGGCTATTACAATGTTCTTCTCAATATTGTTGTAATGGTTAATTGCTAAATTGGCGAAGCGATGAGCTTGGGGACAAACTTTCTTGCCAGCGAGCTCTGCCTCCATCTCTTCTGCGGTCAAATGTTGCTCACTGCAATATATTCAAAAGAGTAATAGATTCAACAGTGTGTTGGACAAAACCAATTTTAGGTATTCACTTAAAAGTTTAATTTCACTTCAACTATTGCATTCTGTATTTCTGTTGCATATACAGGACTTCAATTGTTAATGCGTTCTATCTCTGACCACCAGCTAAATGAATCAACTGAAGTTATTTTATAATTTAACTGTTTTAGTAACCAAGAATGGAAATGCAGCTTAAAAAAAATCCACATTTCTTATTAATTAAAATGGTTGCAGGTTCTAATATCAGTTTACCCATTTACAGGATCGTGCAGGATTCATCTCCAAAGTAACTTTGGCTTTTCTGTCTCCACCTCTTCCTTGTGTCCTTAGGAGATCTATTCTAAGCTGAATTATCGATGTCTTGTTTGCTGTGATCACTACTGTTTTATAAGTGATAAAAAAACAATGATAGTTTTTCACATGAATTTTGTACTGAGGAATATAATGGGTGCGCAATTTCACGTGTGTTAGGATCTACGAAAGGAAAGTTCTATTTGTATGATGTTTTCTTAGTGATGTAGTTGACATACCCATGAGCAAAAAAAAAAAACAAGAAGAAGAAGAAGAAGAAGAAGAAGAAGAAGAAAGAAGAAGGGGTTTAACATACGGTGTATCGGAGAGGACGCGGGGTCGGAAGATTTGTTCGATTTTGTTCTTCTCGATGTCGATCATCCTCTGATAGAACCTGGCCATCTGCGCCTTGGACTCGCGGAAAGCGGGCTTATCCTCCTCCCTGAAGCAGTGAGCCTTATCGCTCATGTCCAAGCTGTCCGCGAGAAGCTCCTCCCATGTCATGGGCCTCTTTCTCAGGCAAGGATGGGGTAGCGTGCGAGGGATCCTCCTCCACCTCCCTGGCGTCCTCTTCTTCCTCGCCGGGGCCTCGCATGCAGACCCCGCCGCCGCCGGCAGGAAGGTGGAGGAATTGGCCCCCGATTGCGACGGCGACGGCGGCGGCGGCGGCGGCAGAGAGTCCAGCCATTCCCGCGCGGTGATCGGGACGGTGGATCCCTGACGAACCTGGAACATGGAGTAGGTCGCCAGTTTCTCTTCTATGGTGGGCCTTCTCATCTCCGCCCGCCGAATCGCAGTCTAGGGTTAGGGTTCTTCCTCCTCGCGAACTCGATGGGAGAAAGAAAGTGGTCCTGATATATATATATCGATGCGAAAAGAAATTTATGCATATGTCACGGAAATCAACACACGTACATTTGGCTCCTGCTCAGCTGATCCTATACCATATAACGATACAAATAAACATATTGAAATTAAAACAAGGAAATTATACTTCTGACAGATCAGGCTCCGAGTCCGCCGACCATATGTATTGCACGGCGTCGCGGATCACCCGGAGAAAAGCGGCGGCCGGCAGCCGGCGCAGACGACGGCGACGTTGTGTCCACGCGGCGGGTTTCCCGGCCGCTGGCGTCGGCGGAGCGTGCTGCCGGCCGTCCCACCGCGACACGCGCGCCATCGGAGGGCGGTTGCACCGGGGTGTCGGGGGCCATGCCACTGCCTCCTCGGCAAGCCGCCACCGTCGTCGGCGAGCTGCATGTGCGTCGCGGCACACCGGGGTACCAAGGTTGACGGCGGCGGAGGAGAGCGGCGCGGCCTCCCCAGCACGCCGTCGTCGTCGGCCAGACTGATCGGCACGGCGGAGGAGAGCGGCTCTTCTTCGTCCTCAGCAAGCCGTCGTCGTCGGTCGGCAGCATTATAACCGGCGGCGACTCCTGCAGACGTAGTCCGCCGTGTCCGAGCGGCCGTGCTTGGAGCAGCGGAGGGGCGAGCCGGACGACGTGAAGCATCAGCAGCAGCAACAGTGCAAGGAGATCGAGACGAACTCTCCATGGCGGGAAGCCGGGAAGGAGAAGGAAGCCAATCGAGAGATGTGATGTGTACGTGTGTTGCAAGCTGCAGCGCTTCGTTTTGGGTATATCACCGGGAAAGTATTTTCTACACATGGTACCTAGGTGTATACATGTAATTTAAACAGTCATATAAAAGTTTTATAAAATTTAATAAGATAGGCTATGTTAATATAAAACACTATACAAACATACAAGTCTAAATTTAATCGACATACAAAGAAAAAAAATAACAAATTTTATCTGCACTGTACAGGGACTAGTCACTGTCTGATTTTATTATTTTTGTTTCTTTAGTTATAGATCAAATTTAGTCATGCATGTTTGTGTATAGACTTATATCATCACAATTGATGTTACTATTTTTTTTTTAATTTTTTCTATAACTATTTGAGTATACTCTACAAATCTCGTCAACGAGTATAGCCCGTCGACAATAAGCATTAATCCCAAATTCTATAAAGTTATCAAAACTGAAAATATTATAATTGTGAGACCCAAACTAAGTACAACCGGATATTATTAATTACAAATTTTGAAATTTATTAAATCATGGCAAACTTATAATTAAGACACCAATCTGAATACAACTTAGTTTTTATTGATTCAGAATTTCAGACTTATTGAAACATCGAAAAGATACATGTTAATTAAGGTCGAAATACTACCATGAGGATCGATAGATATATATGCTAGCCTACTTAGCTAGTGACGAAATTAACATGCATGCAAAATAAATATACACATGTGCTCGTCTACTTAAGCTAGACATATATTCATACAGTTGGTAATTAATGGTACAGTTTATATAACTTCATCTTCTTCCTCGGTCTCGATCGATCAGGCTTCGAGTTCGCCGATCACGTATTCGACGGCGTCGCGGATCAGGCGGAGCAAACCGGCGGCATCATCCGCCGGCGCCGGCGGCCGGAGCGGGGGATCCGTGCTTGTTCGGAGACGTGGAGACGTGATAGGCGGCTTGTTTCCCTGCGGCGACGGCGGAGCGATCCCCAGCGGCGGCTTCCCGTCGTCGTCGGAGAGCGGCTTCGTCGACCCACCCGGCTGAGGCGACGGCGGAGTATTGGTCGGCGCCCTCCCCCCCGACACGCCGCCGTCGACCCCGGCCAGCGGCGTCACCGGCCGATTTGACTGAGGCGGCGGCGGCGCCCCGCCGGATCGTCCCAGCTGTCCCGGCACATCCAGTCCCGGCGAGGCGGCGGCCACGGCCTCGCCGTCGTCGGTCGGCAGCATTATAACCGGCGGCGACGACTCCAGCAGACGATGTCCATGTCCGAGCGCGAGCGGCCGAGCTTGGAGCAGCGGAGGAGCGAGCAGGACGACGTGAAGCATCAGCATCGGCAGCAGCTTGCAAATGCAGGGAGATCGAGACGAACTCTCCATGGCGGGAATGAAGGAGATCAGAAGGAAGCTGATCGATTCGATCGATGGATCGAGAGATGTATGCATGTGTGTTTGCAAGATGCAGCGCTCGCGGCGAGCTCTTTACATAGGTAGGGTTTAATTGCGTACGGCGCTTGTACTTGTCGACAATGTGTGTGGCGATTGGTGAGTCAACGGTTTTGTTAGTTAGGCTGTGTTTAGATCGTTGTAAAGTTTGGAAAAGGACTGAAATTGGAGATGATGTGACTGAAAAGTTGTGTGTGTATGACAGGTTGATGTGATGGAAAATGACTGAAGTTTGGATCCAAACTTTGGATCTAAACACAGCCTTAGTATTGCTGAACCATCAAAAAATATATATTTAATTTGGATCAACTAGTCGTCGTTAATGTTTAGTACTCCCTGTACCATAATATATATACCATAATATGAGAGATTTTGAGTTTTTACTTGCAACGTTTGACCACTTGTCTTATTTAAAAAAATTTAAAATTATTATTTATTTTATTCGTGACTTACTTTATTATCTACAGTACTTTAAGCACAACTTTTCGTTTTTTATATTTGCAAAATAAAATTGAATAAGACGAGTGGTGAAACGTAGTATGGAAAAACTCAAAATCCGGGACGGAGGGAGTAGTAACAGGAAAGGAGCACGAATGACAGTATGTTGTCAGTTAGTTGCTACCGTACGCATTTTTTCTCTGCGAGCTAAGGTTGCTAGCAACATAACTGTTCAACAGCTATTAGTTACAAAAGAGAAAAAAAAATGTTCAACAGCAAGGAAGCAACCGCGAAAACCCACGTGCGTGAATGACCGGAGCTAGTGTCAAACTTCTGCGCTCACTCGATCGCGATCGATCTGGCCGTGAATTGGTGAGATTTTTGGCTTGCAGTCACATGAATCTTAATGCGAGCATTCAAACCATCAAACCATGCGAGCATTCAACGATTTTTTATGCACTTACCACAAACCGGTTGCTAGTTGCTACAGGCTACAGCCAGTCACTAGCAGGTTTTGGAAGCCTGATGGCGAGGAGCTGACAGTTTTGATAATTGACAACATAATCAGCCAATCAGGCCATGTTTAAGGGAGCTTCTTGTAACTGCAATTTCATCTTCGGCTCTTCAAACAATCTAGCTTTTCATCTAGATTCTAAGGGTCTGTTTGGAGGAGCTTCTAGTAGCTGCAACTTCTCCTAGAATCTCCAGTTGCCAAAAACTCCCTCAAACAGTCCAGTTTTTTACCCAGATTCTGAAAATCTGTAGTTGTAGAATCTGAAAAATGAACTAGGGGTCTGTTTGAGGGAGCTTAAGATTCTGAGAAACAGCTGGCTGGTTGCCAGCTTCTAAGAATCTGAAAAAACTGGGTTTCCCAGCTTCTAGCTTTTTATTTTCTGGATTCTACAACTACAGCTTCTTATAATTTAGACCAAAAGCTAGACTGTTTAGGGGAGCTTCTGATTCTGGGAGAAGCTGCAGTAGCTAAAAACTCCCCCAAACAGGCCCTAAGAATAAGTAGAATTTAGCTTGTTTTTCGTATTCTCACCCGATGGCTCTCAAATTTCCCAAACAAAACGGCATTCCAATCACACGAATGGCAGTGACTACCTTGTAACATCAAGGTTACAACAAATAACTAAACGTCTAAACCGTGTATACTGCCGGGCTTGGGGGACGCTGTCGCGGTGCAGGTTGGCCATCATCGTGTCCTGCCAACGGCGGAGCAACAGCAACCGGCCGCCACATCGGCGGCGGCGCGCCACCTCCGCCGTGTTGATGCGGCGCTGGGTGCTTCGGCGACGGCGGGATGTACGGCGACGGCCTCACCAGCGCACCACCGTCATCCGTGCTGACGCTGCTCCGCCACGCCGACGCACGAAGATGTGGATGGGAGGAGTAGGCTTCTCCTGAAGCGACAAAAACAGCAGGAGAAATTTCGTCAGTGAAGAACAGACAGACAAATTAGCTATCAAACCATTTGTTATACGTAGTATTTTTCACATGGTCAATGCGTGATGCGTTTGGTCAGTGAATGACAAATTACTAGCTACCAAATGCACTCCTCTCTCTCTCTTTTTTCACATGATGCATGCGAGTGAAAGCGTCTATGTTGCCTACCTAGCATCCGTGCTTGCAACGGCTGAGCGAAGAGGAGGTAGCAGAGGAGAAGGAGAAGACTATGAGACGGTGATCTATCCATGATCGATAGATGCAGGAGCAAGCTGAAGCTTGCTGCAGATCAATCGGTACACGGATGGAGAAAGGTTTTGGGAACACGGTCAGTATATATAGCGGCTAGAAACCACTGACCTTGTGTAGTTGACGAGTTGTCGAGGTTTCGAGCATTATACACTAGCAATCTACCATGTGCACAGTCGAAAGATGCTCTCTTTTTTTTTTTGGGCCCAAAGTGGGCTACCTGCTTTGTTTCTCGATGCCTGCTTAACTGTAGAATAGTAATGAAGCTAGAGTATCCCCTACCTGGCTACCTCTAAATGATAAAATCTGAGCCAACAGAACTGCTTCAGTGCTTGGCTATATCAGATTATTGCTCATCTCGTGTCAAGATTCTCAGACTTCAAATAGATTAGAGTGCCAACATTTCACTAGTCACAAATTGCAGATTATAATTATGATATGGCAGTGACAATATGACATTATATTTGACAAAACCATGAAGTCAGTAGCGGTACTAGATCAACCACTGGATAATAAAACAAGTCTAGGCTCTAGAATCCTATAAATGTAACGGAAGATTACCGGCCTCTGCCATGTTCCTTCAGGCATTCTTGAAAAATATTCAGGCGACTGAAACCATAGTACAAACAACAAGCAGCAGAGGGACGTCAAAATCTCAGGTAACAATGGAGCAAAGTTTCCAGCAATTTCAATCCTCAATCTTTCGAGTTTTCATGAAGCAAAACATACTCCCGGCTGCAAAAAAAACAATAAAACATTTGTCAGATTTTAGATGAACGGGGTTAGTAAGGAGGCATATAGAAGCAGAGGCTGATCATCATTATATTATATTTACTTTTGGGCAACTAGACTCAAAAGGGCCCTAAATATGGATTAGAAATAGTACCATCCATCTAAGAACAAAAAGATGAGGCTTCTGAAGGATGAAAACCGTATGAACTAGGAAGGGGCACTGTGTGCAAACTTCAAAATCTCCACAGCTCCGAACATATGTTATACATTTATACATGATTGAGCTTGCAAGTCAAGGCTCCATAAAGGAAAATTATGTTTCCATAATGTAGACATTTTGAGATTCCTTGATATTTATAAACATTAATATACCACCTAAAGATTCATTTGGAAATTGTATTGAGAAAAACAATTAGGCGTAGTTTACAAAGATATTACTTAGATTATTGGAGAAAAAATGTTTATCCCAAGAGTACCACAAATCAAAATAAAAGCTCTAATTAAAGAGAATGCCAAAAGCCAGACTGTCACTTTCATAATAAGTTGTTAATTTAAGTCATCACATACCAAAGATACATATACATTGAGCAATATACAAATAAACAAAAAAGTGATGCTTTCTTTAATTGATCATACCTACTATTGCCAAACTTAATGGTATCCTTTTCAAAGAGTTCATAATAACGGCTGGGCTCAATACGATTCTCCTGAAAAAAAAATCAAAACATAAATATTGACTGGGTAGAAAATATTATTAGAAATGCGACTAGTGTATCTGATTAGTAGTAAAAGTATCACTGGAGGACTTACATTAATGAAAGTTCCATTGGTACTACCAAGATCCATCAGATAAGGCCTATCAAACAAAGCAGCAAAAAACATCATAATCTAGACTAGCATACAGAACTAAGATAATCATGAATTATTAGTACTTGTTATTAAAAAAAATATATGCGTTACTAGCAAGGAGTACCTCACTTGCTTTGACATCATGCCATCTGGCTGCTCCTTCTCTACAAGTCTGAAAAGGCAAAGAGATGAGTGAATCACAATATTATTTCTCAATCTATACTCCTTTTAAAAGGGAGCAGTGGTGATGGTGAGTGGTGAATCTGCCACCACCCCACCACCAGCTCCCTAGTTTTTTTGGAATAGAAAAGGGGGGCCTACATGTCAACCACCCCTACCACCAACTTCCTACTTTTTGTGAGAAGAAAATAGGACAGTGCACATGTCAGTAACAAATATATACATAAATTAAGGGGCGATATACACAGAAAATGATGATAATAATGAGTTAATGATAATTTTCTTTATTTAAAATCCTGTTGCCACGCACAGGCAATATGCTAGTAAAGGCAAAAAACAATAAGATTGCTATGCTTACCTATATTGAAGAACTGCATGTTGCTTACTGCAGGAGGGATGATCTGTGGGGATGTCTGCAACTTTCCGTTCCCTTCCAAAAAGGTAGCTGCTCATCCGGTGAACATATAATGGTTCTGTTCAATCAAGATAGCATCACAAGACACAGTCAAACAAGAAGAGCAAAACTGAAGTATTTAATCACTAATGTAAGCACGTGAATTTTTTTACCACCGTACACATTTAATTTATACCACTATAATGCCCAACCTTTAACTTGCTGTTCATCACAATAAACTTCATTACTTCAGTTATTTCACTTCCGTTCAAAACTAAAACTAGTGAGCTATCCATACAATACCAATGCTCAAACAGTATCATTGGATATATTCACAAGCCAGTGTATCGTAAGGAACTGAACAATAGCAAAGCACTAGGCAGGCTTCATTATTACAAACCAATGGTCCTGTGTTTGATCCATCGATTGAACAAAGGTTCTCTTTCCTTTCCCCAGGGCTAGACAACTAAGCCACAGATAAGGGCATGTTTAGTTCTCAAAGCATGTGAACACCTTTTATGAGATCTAGACCTCCACTCTAGTTAGGCACGTGCACACACGCATGCATTTAACTTGGGTGGCTGTGCCGTGTACACATATCGACCTTACTCTAGAAAAGAAAGAGCCCTTTTACTCCCCGGGGAAAATGTAAATAATGATACTGATTCAATGCAAGCTCATATCATAGTGACCCACTCGTTAGTGCCTTTGCTCACGTTAAATGGTTCGTTCCAAAACTCTCCGAAATTAAGCTAGTTCGAAAATGTTTTTATGTTCCATACTCGCTTCATCACAGTCAGTTAAGCTTACTGCTTTTAACAGAACCTACTTTTGGTTTGGCCATGTTGGGAAGGGAAATAGAGAAACAGCTGTTGAACTAGACAAGAACATGCCTCTACAGACTGGCAAATCCAAAAAATGTTTTTTTCTTCTATTTATTAAAAACTATTAACTCGAACAGATAGCATGACAAAAGGAAAAAAGTTAGCTTCATATATAGAGTAACAAGTCAAGAATAACTACCTTCGAGTGGTTCACCACCCTTGAAGACGTAGAGTCTCCATCTAATATCTGACTTGCGAGCCTCTGGAGGTTCTGAATGCAACAGATTTACACCTGAAATGGAAGTAAATTGCAAACTCTGAGGACAATGCAATACAGCAAAGAACAAGGAATTACAAATTCTCATTGGTGGTTAAACAAACATTAATGTAAAGTGTAACATTTAGGTTCATGACCAAAAAGAAAGATATAGGGCTTCAAAACAGCACCTGCAACTCTGTTAGTCTCCTCAGCAAGCTTTCCAGACAATTCAAATGATGGTTTTTGCTGCAAAACACCAATGAAATTATTAAAATACTAGTGTATGACAAATGAAGAGAAAGGTTAAATAAAAAGAAAGCTGACATGGCAAGTATTTTGTATCTGCGAAAACAGCAAGCATCATATAAATAAACTGTACACAACAAAAGGAAGATTGTTATTATTTTAAATTTCATCATGGAGTATGCCCTACCTTTTCTTTTGCTTCCAGAGCTTCTGCAGTAGCATTCATCTTCACCAAAGAATCAGGATCAACACTCCTGGCCAAAATAGTATCAAATATAATATTTTCAGTTCTAAAATTTCAGGTACAAAAACATTGCGCTCATGTAGCTGGTCAAATATACATTTGTTTGTTTTAGGTACTACTGCTACAGTTGCTTAACGGATATGCTGATATGCATCAAAAGTTCAAAACCATTCCAGCAAGAGGGTATGACACCCATAACACGCGTAGCCCCATTGATACAACAAGAAAACAATTGCAAGCAATGCTTCTACTAAAAATTTACAATTCGTATTGAATATAGAGTTTTGCATGCTTACCGTGACGCTGCATCTGTTACAGAGCTTGTATCCTGAAATAAATCAAAACAAAGTTTAGGTTGCAACTAACGGGCCATATATGATAGCAAACATGAAAAGAAACCAAATTGGTATGAAATGAAAAGGATAGCGGGCAACTAATTATATCCTCTAGAATCTGAACTCTGAAGCAAGAAGGGTTTACATGGAATACAGACCCACAAGTTTAGTGTCAACAATGCTGATAACAAGGCGTACTCCCTCTGTACTCGTAAAGGAAGTCGTTTTGGACAGCGACACGGTCTCCAAAACATAACTTTGACTTCTTGTTTCTATAAAAATATTTAATGAAAAGTGATATATGTATACTTTTATAAAAGTATTTTTCAAGACAAATCTATTCGTATAATTTTTACATTTTCAAACTCAACTTGAGAGTTATTCATGATTTATATTCCCAAGGTTTGACTTAAACATTGTCCTAAACTACTTCCTTTACAAGTACGGAGGTAGTAATTTTTTTTCACTTCTATTCATTTGGGTGCAGGTTATCAGACAAAGAACAGAAACAAGGGACAATCATGAAACAAAAGAACACACTACGCCAACTAACAGGTGGATATGTATAAGAAAAGGGTCAGATATCATTACACACCTCACCATGTGCTGCACTTCTAGATGACCTCGGTGACTGGCGGGATTCACGTCTACCCCTATGCCTATGCTCTTCTGGAGACACTGATCGCCCACGCCTAGATGATCTCCCTGATTCACCATTGCTCTCATCCCGGTCTGCCCTTCTCTCTCTTGCAGAATCCCTTCTATCATCATGATCTGCCCTTTGCTCCCTGGAATTGACTTTTCGATCATCCCCATCAGACCTTCTACCCCTTGAATCACGCCTTTCATCATCTCGGCTTGACCATGTCTCCCTTGAAGCACCCGACCGATCAGACCTTCTATCTCTTGAGTGATCCCTATCATCATCATGATCCAGTTTCCTGTCCTTAAAAGAGCCCCTACTATCCTCCCTCTCAGTCTTTCTATCCCTTGACACATCCTTTCCCTCATCACGCTCCCTGTACCTCCCCGAGTCCCGCTCTTCCCTGCTGGTGGTCTTCCGACGGTCACCCTCAGTAGCATCTGCACCTTCCCGCTCACTCTGAGCCCTTCTCAATCGTTTGCTCCGTGGTGAGGGCGACCGAGACTCCCGTTTCCTGGCAGGTGACGGAGACCGTGACCGTGACTGAGCTTGTTTCGGCGACCTGACCTGCTCCTTCACCCTATCTCTCTGTGGCGACCTCCCAATACTCCTAACAGGAGACCTCCTAGGTGAGCCATTCCTCCGAACAGGCGACCTCTCCCTATGTGAGCTAGTAGTCTTAACAGGAGACCTCCTCCTAGGCGAGCGACTCCTCGGAGCCGGTGACCTCTCCCTCCGAGCAGGCGGGCTCCGCCTGCGCGGCGGCGAGCCACGGTCCCTCGCCGGCGAGCGCGACCTCGAGCGCCCCGACCTCCGCGAATGCTCCCTCCGCTCCACCGCCGAAGCCATTCCCCACCTGGAGCAGCATCACCCCCAAACCAAACCGATTCAGAACAGCACTACGAAGAAAAATCGCGGAATCGCTAGGGTTTTGTGCGGCCTCAGTCCGAGGAGCCGCCAAAAAAAAAAAGAGGGAGGGAGGGAGGGAGGAAGGGGAGCGTACCGGGTGCGGCGGAAGCGGATGCGGAGTCGTCGGCGGCGAGGTTATCGCCGGTGGCGACCGGCCAGCGGCGACCGCGAACCGAGGGTTTCTTCTCTGTGAGGGCTCGGCTTCAGAGAACAATCCGGAACCGGAGGCGGAGTCCGGGAAGGCTGTACAATATCAAGACGACCGCGAAAGCCCAATAGAGAGCCCAAGTTGCTAAGCGACGGCGGCCCAGTTAGATGAGGGCCCATATGGAAGACTCTGTGGTGGCCCATAGGGAATAAGTTCATCTAGGGTCCCTTAACTTGTCAAGGAATCCGATTTTCGTCCTTCAACCGTAAAACCAGATACTATGGGTCCCTGAACTATCAAAACCGATGCATATTAGGTCCCTCGGCGGTTTCGATGGTGGTTTTGGCTGACGTGGCACCTACGTGGCTAATTTGACTCGATCACGATCTGACGTGGCACTGATGTGGCAATTTGATCCGGAAAAATAATAAATTCCGTGGGACCTAAATATCAGTTTCACACACAAATTAATAAAAGAATGGCGGGGTCCACGTGACCCCACATGTCAGTCAAAATCACCCCTCCTCTTCTGCTTCCGGCTTGCCGCTCGCCGCGACGACGACGACGACCGTGGATGCGGCGCCGGCGCTGGCCTCGACGTCCTTGCTGGCCGGCGTCGTCGTCGTCGACGACGACTCGTCGGAGGACGAGGTGCCGTCGACGTACATCCCGATGGCGGCCTTCCTGACCTCGAGCACGAACAGCAGCAGTGTGAGCCAGACGATGGCCTAGAAGACGGAGAGCTGGACAACGAGCTGCTGCGCCCCCTCACCGTACATGGAAGGCCGTGAAGATCGAGAGGGCAACGGCCATGAACCACCAGCTCCACCGCTGCTTTGTATCCACGAGCACCGGCACCAATTGCGGGTCCCACGCCAGCCGCCGGGTCTGCTCCTCCGCCTGCCGGCACGCGTCGTTGTCGGGCATCAGGAACTGGATCAGCAGGAGGTCCAGCGACTGCGCCGTCCCTCCCTGTTGCCAGCGGCAGCTTCCTCCTCCCTTTACCTTGCTGCAATCGCCCGGCACCGGCGGCGGGGGTGAGCAGGCAGCAACCACCCGCCGGCGCTACCCGCCTCCGCGCCGTCTCGCCGTCACCGACACCGCCCGCGCCGGCGGAGGCGTTCGGGTCCGATGCCCTCAAGGAGACTTTCTCCGTTGACGTGGTGGCGGCCGAGGCGCGGCCGCTGAACGTGCCCCTGGCCGCGCCCTTCACCATCGCGTCGTCGCGGCTGGAGACCGTGTCCTACGTCGCCGTTCGGGTGGAGCTCCGCAGCGGCGCGGTCGAGTGGGGGGAGGCGCCTGTGCTGCCCTCCGTCACCGCCGAGGACCAGCCCGGCCGCCTTTGGTGCCCATCCCATCCGCATCTGGCGCAAGAGAGATGAAGAGAGGGGAGCTGGGGAGAGGAGGAAGATGGGAAGGGGTGAGTTAGCCTGACATGTGGGGCCCACATGGGTCCCATTGTTTTTTATTCTTTTGTGTGAAACTGACACGTGGGTCCCATAGGTTTTATTTTTTTTCTGGATCAAATTGCCACGTAAGCGCCACGTCAATGCCACATCAGATGAAGACCGAGTTAAACTAGCCACGTAGACGCCACGTCAGCCAAAACCGCCATCGAAACCGCCGAGGGACCTAATCCGCACCGGTTTTGATAGTTCAGGGACCCATTGTACCTGGTTTTATGGTTGAAGGATGAAAATCGGATTCGTTGACAAGTTAAGGGACCTAAGATGAACTTATTCCCACCCCCATAATTTTGAAGAGGAAAAAGTTCACTTTGGGTCCCTCTATTTGTCGCCCCGTCCGATTTTCGTCCCTTGACCGCAAAACCGGGTACTACCCATCCCCCAACTTACGAAACCGGGCAAACAAGGTCCCTCGGTGATTTTGGATGACGTGGTGCCTACGTGGCTTGTTTGACTAGGTCTCCGTCCCACGTGACATTGACGTGGCAATTAAACCTGAAAAATAAATAAACCTTGTGGGACCCACATGTCAGTTTTACACAGAAATTATAAAAAAGGTGGGGCCCACGTGGGCCCACATGTCATTCTCTCCCCCTTTTCCTCCACCCCATGTTCCACCGCATTCTCGCCGCCCGCGCCCACCGACGACACGACCCCAGCCGCCACCGCAGCCCGGCGACCGGTGGCGCCGCCCACCTCCCTGACTCGCCGTGGCCGCTCGGGGTAAGGCGGTTCCCCTGTTGCCGCTCCCGCTCCCGCTCCCGCCGTGCCGACGCAAGAGAGGACCGCGCCCGCCCGGCTGTCGACACCCCATCGGTGGAGGAAGTCGGCCAACTGCAGCAGCCACGGCACCCGGCAGCTCCGCCCGCCTCGGCGGCGCTACCGCGGACAGCGACGCACCTGACGACGACGCCGCGGCCGCTCCCCCCACCGCCGAGTCAACGCTCCTCTGCACACGCTCGCCTGCAGAGCGCGACGCCCGTGGGCTCAACGACTGCGGCAGCCAGGGCCACCTCCCACCACCCCTTCCTCTCCTGCCGGCCGCCGCGCGCCGAGCACCACTGCCTCTCCACCGCGAGAGAGAGGGGAGAAAGAGAGCTGAAGAGAGGGAGATGTGGATAGAGGAGAAAGAAGGTGGGGCTGAGGATGACATGTGGGGCCCATGTGGGCCCCACCTTTTTATTATCTGACTTGTGGGCCCCGCTATTTTAAAATTATTTTTTTGTGTGTAGCTGATAGGTGGGCCCATGGTTTTTATTATTTTTTCAAGATATAATTGCCACGTAAGCGCCACGTCAAATGCCACGTGGGACAGAGAACTAGTCAAACAAGTCATGTAGGTGCCACATCAGCCAAAACCGCCTTTAAAACCGCAGAGGGACCTCGTTTGCCCAGTTTTCGTAAGTTGGGGGACGGGTCGTATCCGGTTTTGCGGTCAAGGGACGAAAATCGGACCGGGCGACAAATAGAGGGACCCAAAGTGAACTTATTCCTTTTGAAGAGAAAATCCAAGAAATGACAAGCACCAAATTTCAAAAAAAATACCATCAATAAATACGAGTTCTATGAAATATCATCGTACAAGTGAATTCGTCCTAGAAATGTCATCACCGTTAAGGTTCCGTTAGCAGTCCATCCTGCAGCATTAGATGTGTTGTTTATCCTATAGCATTTAACGGGAGGCTACTAACAGAATCTTAATGGCTATAGCATTTCTAGGATAATCCTCTTGTACGATGATATTTTATGGAACATACACTCATATATCGTATTTCTTGGATTTGGTTGATTGTCGGTGGTATTTCTTGGATTTTCTCAACCACAAACTAGTCCAGCCCAACACTTTTGGCAGTGCCTCTCCTTTTTTTTTTCTTTTCCTTTTTTGCGGGTAATGCAACTTTTCATTTTATTTCACTAGGGAAAGGAAGAATTTGAGACACTTAACCCGTCAGATACACTGTTCTTTTTGGACTATGGAACGTGGGGACTTCATAAGAAATGTTTTTTTCAAAACAGTCAAAATTCATTATGGATTATTGAGTCTACATCTTATGTTAAATATATATAATGAAATCAGTTTATACTGTAATTGTCAATCACTACCAGAACTCACCATCACCATGTCCCCTACTGTTTTTTCTGCTAGGGAACAGCCTGAAACTAGTAGGGAAACAGTTTCCCTACACTTTTTCGTAGGGAAACCTTCCATGGGAACATATTCGTGGGGAAATAAAAGTGCCCTACGATTTCAGCTATAAAAGCTAGATTCCTAGGATATGAAATGGTAGGGAACATTGCTTACATGGCATTTGTGATCCACATTACATGGCATTTGTGATCCACATGTAAAGTGACTTCCCCTATGTTTCTAAAACTGTAGGGACTTTTTATTTAATATATTTCTCCTAGCTGTGCCATCACACAATTATTTCCTTTTAAAATGTTCAAATAGTAGGGATATTTTTATATGCAATATATATCTGAATATTGCACCAAATAGGCGATTCACTCAAATTAAAAATAATTAAATAGGTAATATATATCACTAATCTTACAAACCAAATCAACACGAGCTCTCACAAATCTTCCATGAATAATCATTACTTAGATAAGCATAAAGATCACTGAGACACTAATAGAATCAGTTACATAGTTACATAGGCCGTGTTTAGTTCGCGCCAAATTTAGAAGTTTAGTTGAAATTGAAACGATGTGATGGAAAAGTTAGAAGTTTGTCTGTATAGAAAAGTTTTGATGTGATGAAAAAGTTGGAAGTTCGAAGAAAAACTTTGAAACTAAACACGGCCTATAGTGAATCACAAGGTTTGGCAAAAGGTTTGCAAGCAGTAAACACAAGATTCCAGATTTGCCCATATTTAATGCTGCCTTAATGCCAATCACACAGACAACCATCACATGTATTCAGGTCACAAAACATGATGGTCAATCCCACAGCTGCTGTTGCTTCACAAAATACAATCATCCAGATGCAGAGGGAGGGCTGGCAGTGAACCTAGTGCTTCGGCTTCTGCTGTTGCTGTTGGTGCTCCCATACAACAACAAGAACATGGCATACATAATCACAGCAAAAAAGTGAAACCACAATTATTCATGCAATAGGAACCGAAAAAATGTTCTCAAACATACACAGCAGTCGCAAGCATTACAGTACATAACCATGTTTGTGCTTTACAAACAACTTTCAAGAACGGTTAACCAAACAAAGTGCAATGGAATCATGAAATGCATTCATCGGATCGCAATCATCAAACACTTCTTCTGTCTCAGGCTGATCGGCAGTAGCTTGTGAGGGCACATAGTTCTCATCACGGTCACAACGATCAAAGTGCTTATCCCGTATGCCACTAACCCTAATGAAGTTATGGAGAGCACAGCATGCAACTATGATTTTGGCCTGTTTATTAGGAGCATAACTAGAGACCTTTTTCCAACATGCGCCACTTCATTTTCAAAACTCCAAATGATCTTTCAATGACATTCCTAAGAGATGAGTGTGCATAGTTGAATTTTTCTTCCTTACCTTGAGGTTCAGGGCTGTCTCGATACTCCTGTAGATGATATTTGGTTCCCTTGTAAGGTGCAAGGTAACCTGGCCGGTTAGGGTAGCCGGAGTCCACAAGGTAATACTTTCCTACAGCAAGAAACATCAGTTAGTGCCACATTCTACAACTAACAAATCAAAATGAAGTACAATGCAACACTATACCTGTAGGAGGATGTGGAAACACATGGTTGTATGTTGAGTGTGCATCATCAAATACTCTCATGTCATGTACCGAACCAGGCCCATCCAGATAGTACAAATGTAAACCTCATGTCGAAGTCACATGCAGCCATGACATTTTGTGTGGTCATGCCCTTGCGGCACAAGTACTGCATGAACTTGTTGTTTGGCACCACGCAAGGGACATGAGTCCCATCTATAGCCCCTATGCAATCCTTGAAGTAGGGATAGAACCTACGGTTCCTCAGTCTTGGGTGCATTGTTCTGAATTGCGGGTCCACAGGCTTTATGACATCAACAGCAAGCTTGACCACAGACTGCAACACTTTGTTAAACAAGCTACTTACAGTCCCCATGGACCTCTCAAATCTGTCCTCAGCTTGCCTAACTGATTGTGGGGTGCCAACCATCCAAAGAAACATCGCAAGAGCTTCTACCGAGGTGGATTTGCTACTAGATTTTAGGCCATAGGACTGAACCAATAGGTCATGCAGGAGGAGGAACATAGTTGGACTCATTCTAAACATGTTATAACATGCCTTTCTATCCCCAAGCTTATTATGTACCCATTACAACCCAGTCAAGGCAGGTTGCCTATACTCACTCTAGTCAAATGCTTGTCAATGTGGATGGCATACTGAAACATAACGTGGAAGAAACCTTCGTCATCATCGTCCAACAAGTCCAACATCATCTTGTTTAAGTCTTCATCCATGCGCTGTCTTCGAGCACGACGATTGTGGGATGCTGACAACGACCACGACGAGAATGACGAGAATAACGACGACCGCGACGAGAATGATGACGACAACGACTGCCCTGCATCCTGTCAAAGCAAACAATGAGTTATGTTAGTAAAGAATAACAAAACATTTGCAAATAAATCTCAGCCATGCAGCACATAGTTCAAATCAGCAATGTATTAAAAGTGCATCACACTTAGTACCATAACAATGTTCATATAACAGACATCACAACCATAGTACACACATACATAATCATACACAGGATTGAACAAACAGACAATAATACATGAACTTAAAATTAATGACACAACAGAACATGAGATGGACTAGTTGTCGACCTCAACATATTTCTTGATGATGAGCATCCTTCCTGCTGGACAGGTGTGAATGAATGCATCCATCGCGCTACCATTCTGGGTAATGTTGACCACGCCCATGAACAGCTTTGGGCTTCCTTCTGGAGTGACCCCACACTCCGGCCATCTCGAGTACCTTTTTAATCTTCATCTCATGAGCGTTGGCTTGAGCTTCGGCGGCTATCATATGGGCTTCCGCGGCTCTCCTTTCGGCTTCGGCGGCTTTCCGTTTGGCTTCGGCGACATCCTGCATAACTTGCAACATGGATTGCATTAGGCTGATTTTGCTCCTTTGAAGGTCATTGTACTCCCTCATGTTGCTAACCATTGCCCTCACTGCTGGACTCTTGGACTTTTTACTTGGACTCGTCCTTTTGTTGCCAACACTAAGAGGGGTCAGCTCGTCCTCTTGCTCATCACCATCCGCTTCGTCAGAGCTATCACACTCTATAGGCTCCTCGGCAGTGGCCACAAACGATGCGGAACCATCCACAGCAACACCCTCAAACATTCGGTCCATTTCAGGCAAATATTCCGGCAAGCCTGGCCTAAACTTCTTCCAATCAGAATGTCCCTGCACAAAGAAGTCATATGGCATGAAGTCCTGAAACAAATCAAATACAAAGTTTAGGTTGCAACTTACGGGCCACATATGATAGCAAACATGAAAAGAAACCACATTAGTATGAAATGAAAAGGATAGCGGGTAACTAATTATATCCTCTAGAATCTGAACTCTGAAGCAAGAAGGGTTTACATGGAATACAGACCCACAAGTTTAGTGTCAACAATGCTGATAACAAGGCATAATTTTTTTCACTTTCTATTCATTTGGGTGCAGGTTATCAGACAAAGAACAGCAACAAGGGACAAACATGAAACAAAAGAACATAGTATGCCAACTAACAGGTGGATATGTATAAGAAAAGGGTCAGATATCATTACACACCTCACCACGTGCTGCACTTCTAGATGACCTCGGTGACTGGTGGGATTGGGATTCATGTCTACCCCTATGCCTATGCTCTTCTGGAGACACTGATCGCCCACGCCTAGATGATCTCCCTGATTCACCATTGCTCTCATCCCGGTCTGCCCTTCTCTCTCTTGCAGAATCCTTTCTATCATCATGATCTGCCCTTTGCTCCCTGCAAATGCCTTTTTGATCATCCCCATCAGACCTTCTACCCCTTGAATCACGCCCTTCATAATCTCGGCTTGACCATGTCTCCCTTGAAGCACCCGACCGATCAGACCTTCTATCTCTTGAGTGATCCCTATCATCATCGCAATCCAGTTTCCTGTCCTTAAAAGAGCCCTCCTCCCTCTCAGCCTTTCTATCCCTTGACACATCCTTTCCCTCATCACGCTCCCTGGTGGTCTTCCGGCGGTCACCCTCAGTAGCATCTGCACCTTCCCGCTCACTCTGAGCCCTTCTCAGCCGTTTGCTCTGCGGCGATGGCGACCAAGACTCCCGTTTCCTGGCAGGTGACGGAGACCGTGACCATGACTGTTTCGGTGACCTGACCTGCTCCTTCACCCTATCTCTTTGTGGCGACCTCCCAATACTCCTAACAGGAGACCTCCTAGGTGAGCCATTCCTCCGAACAGGCGACCTCTCCCTATGTGAGCTAGTAGACTTAACAGGAGACCTCCTCCTAGGCGACCGACTCCTCGCAGCCGGCGACCTCTCCCTCCTGCGCGGCGGCGAGCCCCGGTCCCTCGCCGGCGAGCGCGACCTCGAGCGCCCCGACCTCCGGGAATGCTCCCTCCGCTCCACCGCCGAAGCCATTCCCCACCTGGAGCAGCATCACCCCCAAACCAAACCGATTCAGAACAGCACTACGAAGAAAAATCGCGGAATCGCTAGGGTTTTGTGCGGCCTCAGTCCGAGGAGCCGCCAAAAAAAAGAGAGAGGGAGGGAGGAAGGGGAGCGTACCGGGTGCGGCGGACTGCGGCGGAAGCGGATGCGGAGTCGTCGGCGGCGAGGTTATCGCCGGTGGCGGCCGGCCAGCCGCGCCGGCGAAGCGGCGAAGCGAGGGTTTCTTCTCTATCTGTGAGGGCTCGGCTTCGCAGAGCAATCCGGAACCGGAGTCCGCGAAGGCTCTACAATATCAAGGCGACGCGAAAGCCCAATAGAGAGCCCAAGTTGCTAAGAGACGGTGGCCCAGTTAGATGAGAGCCCATATGGGAGATTCTGTGGTGGCACATTTTACTAGCGTCACCACATAATTTTGTAGAGAAAAATCCAAGAAAAACCATTGACAAACACCCAAATCTAAAGAAATGTCATCGACGAGTGCAAGTTTAATAAAATATCATCGTACAAATGATTTTGTCCCAAAAATACTATCGTCGTTAGGGTTCCGTCCATCCTGTGACGTTAAATGTATTGTTTATCCTATATCACTAAAGGAAAGCTGCTAACAGATCCCTAGCGGCGATACCATTTTTGTGACAAATACGCTTATACAATGATATTTTATGTAACTCGTACTTGTTGATAGCATTTCTTGGAATTATGTGATTGTTAATGGCATTTCTTAAATTTTTCTCAACCTCAAACTAGTCCGGCACAGTACTTTTGGCAGCGCCTCCCCTTTTCTCTTTTTTTTTCCTTTTTTGCGGTTAATGCAACTTTTTATTTCATTAACCCGTCAGATACGCTGTTCTTTTTGGACTTTGGAACGTGGGGACTTCATAAGAATTTTTTTTTCAAAACAGTCAAAATTCAATATGGATTATTGAGTCTACATCTTGTGTTAAATATAATGAAATCAGTTTATACTGTAATTGTCAAATTATGGACTACTAAGAGACAATGTTCCACTTGTTTAAGCACGGACTGTTCTTGTGAAATATCCTTGGTAAAAAAGGGAAAAAGATCATGATATCTCCAGCATTCCACAGTCAAAAGTTCATCCTACTATCCTATATAGGGGTGGACAAAAAAGCTTGGGCTCGTGAGCAGGCTCGGGCTTGGCTCGAGCTCGCAAAAGCTCGGCTCGGCTTGAAACCTAAACAAGCCGAGCTCAAGCCGCCTGCGCAGCTCGTTTCTAAATCAAGCCGCGCCCAAGCTAGCTTGCAAGCCGCTCGTTCAGCTCGTCAAGCTTTTGCATAAAAATGGCCTAGCCCATTATTGTCGCTGGTGTGGCCCAAGGCCCATCAAAAATCCTAAGTCCCTAACCTATTCCCCCAATCTCCCACCCACCCCACGCATAGGCAGCCGTTCTTCTCCCCTTCCCACCACGCGAGACAGCGAGTCCGCCACTGAAGCCTTTCAACGAGTCCGCCCGCCTCCTTCAACACGAAGTCGCGCCGCGACTGCATGAGGAACTGAGGGAGTGAGGACATCGAGGCACTGCGCTGTGTCGTCTCCTGCCTCCCCTGCGGCGCCTCTTCCCTCCGCTACACCGCCGGTCTGCTGCCTCCCTCCCCTATGGCGCCGCCTCCATCCCAGCGCCGACAGCCCACCATCTCCCTCCCCTGTGTGGCTGCGCCGCGGCCTTGCTCCCCAACGGCGTCGCCTCCATCCCCAGCGGCCAACACCGCCGGTCTACCGCCTCCATCCCCAGCGCCACCGGTCCACCGCCTCCCTCCCCTACGGTGTCGATGCCATCCATCGCCTCGCTGCCTGTATCTGAACCAAGCTAGCTCGAGCTTTGAAACGAGCCGAGCCGAGCCGCTATTTTAGCTCGTTTCATTAATCAAGCCGAGCCTATTCTTTGTCAAGCTTTCACGAGCCGAGCCAAGTCTGGCTCGGCTCGGTTTGGCTCGGCTCGGCTCGATTTCACCCCTAATCCTATACGCCCACTTGTTATGCGAACTTTCTATCGACTATTGACCTTCAGTGTAAGGCAATAACTGCTTCCACCGAACAAGATACAGTGCTTAGCACCACCAATCTGACAAAATCAGTTACTTGATTACTCATCTCAAGAAGAGAAAAACACTTGATCTTCAGAGGTAGAGACGCTGAGTGTGAGTGGTTAGCCAACTGCCTTATCCAACATCCCAATGTGACAACGGTTTAATGCCAGTGCGACTGGCCGGAATCAATTCAGAATTACGATTGGATGAAAGATTTTGGTGGAGTTGGCCAAAAGCCCATGTATACGCTTCTCTACTGCATTCCTGTTTCGTCAATCAAATGATCACCCACAATCACATTGATGCTGATACAATTATTCCCCTAAAGAACGTAGATATACAATATCAAATGGCATCTTTTCACTTTGGTCAACTTCTTCATCGAATAAACTATATCTGCAGCCTCATCAAAAGTCAACATCCATTGCCTAAAGACTGAAGTTCGAGGTGCCCTTTTCCCTGTACCTCCTCTTTTTGGGACGGCTGTTGACCCCCTTTATTTCAGAATAAGAATAACTCGGACGTTGACTCTGCCAGTATCTGAAACACCAAGTAAAGCACGCAGACATTTTTCGTCGACTGCGCATCGTTGTCAAGCAACAGATGTTGACAAATCCCTCAAAAGCATAATCTTTCAGCTCACCTTCGTCAGAGATCAGAGTGAGGCATAACACAAGTACACAGCATATGTACCTTCTGCTCTTGCGAGCCACAAGAAATAAACCAAGAATTCACGGTCGAAAATCCGAGCTGAAAACGAAGCTGAAACCACAGCACAATTCAGAGAGTGATCACCAATGATCGGTGAAATGCAGTGCTAAACGGCAAAAAGGATGGAACAGATCGTCCAAAGTGGCACTCTGCTGGCATTGGTGTCACTTGTCCGTACACACGGTTCATACTACTTTCAGAGCTCGTGTCCATCACTTTCTTATCTGCTCATCCCTACCGATCTCGCAGATCAAACCGGACGCACAATGGCCGATCTCTCGTATCCCTGTCCGATCCATCACTCGTCAACTGCAAAGTTTTCGCGTTCATGCCTGCACATCTGCTTTTGGTCAAATGGCAAACTGAGTTCTTGTGCACTTGGATAAGACCAGTTGAAACGAGTTCTTCTTTCAGAGCGGTTGACCTGCTACAGAGCTGGAGCCGGTGTAACGAAAAGGGGCCCTTCAACTTTTGGCATGATTGTAACAGGCGCAATAGTGGATTAAACAAGTGGAATGCCCAATGGAATTGCACTGGGACTGGAAGGAATTTTTCTACAAGAAAATACTTCGATGCAATCATTGGTTGATGAGCCTTGATGTCCTGTACCGTAAGAGCAGGTACAATAGCAAGGCTATTAGCCAGCTATAAACATATTTTAATAAGATAAAAGATGAGATATTTTAATGAGATAAAAGATGAGAGAGAAGAGTAGCGGGCTACAGATCTGTAGCCAGCTGTAGGAAGGACTCCAAGACGCAATGTGTATATGACATGTGAGATCATATGTTAATAGTGTAGTAAGCAACTATTGTATGAATTGGCTATTAGATCGGCTATAGATAAATTGGAGCTAGTAGTGGGCTATACTATTAAACTTGCTCTAAGAAACAAGAAACTGTAATGAAAGGTTGACCTGTAGTGGTGAGAGTATTGCTGGATTTTTCACATTTTGGTGCTTTTAAAAAACTTATTTCGCAAATAGACCCCTGAAAAAACTTATCCCAGAAATGGTCCTTTTTGGGGCGCCAGAGCGGGACGGCGCCAGCCTCTCTGGCGTCGTCCTCCTGCCACCGTGGCGCACGCGAACCGACGTGGCAGGAGGAGGGCGCCAGCATGGCTGGCGCCGCCGCCTCCATTCCTGTTTCTCTGTATGGAGTTGCAACGGTGTCATTTTTATTTTATTTTTTCGGATGTTTTTTCACACTCAGGATCACGATACAACAAACCACAAAAAAAATTTAAACTCGAACTACCACTTAGTCTGAAAATATCTAGCATACCACTTAATCTACTTTGCACCTTCACTAAAATTAGACCATAACTCTTTTAATAAAACCCTTTGATCAGCATGTTAAACATAATGCACTCTACCACTATATGAAATTACTTAATCTAATTCAAAATATAACCACATGAAATGACATATATAAGTTAAACAGTACATAGAGATGCAATTTTTTATTTTTATTTTATTTTTTTGATATTTTTTTTATACTTAGGAGAACATAGGAACCAACCGTATAAAAAATAAACTCAAACGGACAAAATATGTGACATGTAGAATTTTCCAAAACTCTACCGAAACGGACAAAATATGTCATCTATTAAAATAGGCGTAACTTTCTCATACGGACTCGGAATCAGGCAAGTAATATATGCACGGACATCTACAGAAAAAGTTACATCCGATTCTCCCTGCTTCGCCGGGTTCGGCGATATTAAAACCTCCAAATTCCGCTTGCAAGATTGTATTTTCGAGGAGAGAAGTTTTTCGGTAGAGCTTTGGAAAATTCCACATGTTATATATTTCGTCCGTTTGAGTTTATTTTTTATATGGTTGGTTCCTGTGAGTTCCTAAGTGTGAAAAAAATATCAAAAAATAAAATAAAAATAAAAAAGTTGCACATCTCTCTCCTCTGCACTAGTTCGGAGAGAGAGGAGAGGAGAGGAGAGGAAAAATTCTACATGTCACATATTACGTTCATTTGAGTTCAATTTTTCTATGGTTGGTTTTTGTGTGTCCCTAAGCGTGAAAAAAATATCAAACAAATAAAACAAGAATAAAAAATTTCGGGGGGTGGCGCCAGCCACTCTGACGCACTCCCCCTAGCCACCTCAGCATCGCCCCGCCACGTCGGCAGGGGGACGGCGTCAAAGAGGCTGGCACCATCCTGTTGAACGACGGCGCCAGCCACTCTGGCGCCCAAAAAGGACCATTTTTAGAAGAAGTTTTTCTTGGGGTCTATTTACGAAATAATTTTTTTAAAAGGACCAAAATGTGAAAAATCCAGGAGAGTATTGCCATCCTTGCTGTTTGACTTCGGCGAAGCAAAGGCAGGTTTTTTTGGATCCCAAAATGTTCAGTTTTCATGGGCACGAGCCGTCTGAACAACGCCGCTAGCTTTTTTCACACCGTGAGATCTGACGCGCTTGCAGCTCTGCAAAGGCTTCGAGCAGCTGCCGCTGCCAGCACCGGCGCTAGCTGCATCCTACTCATCGTATAATCTGTGTGCTATATACTCACTGATCATGCAAGCCTGAATCAGAATCAGGATATCCCGATCAGCGTCTTTGTCTTGTAAAAGAGAAAAAAAAACATATATAGATTTTCAGTTCCCGGCACGACATGATCCGTGAACAGTAGCTACATAGCCGCGGCTGTATTTTTTTTTCCTCTCTTGGGAACAAACGGTGTGCCATGGCATGGTGGTTTGTAGAATCCACCGAAAACGGTAGAATTTTCGGCAATCTGTATCGTGAACGACGGCAAAATTAAAGGGGTTGGATTCTTGCTTTTGCTTGGCTCGGCGGTGAAGTGGAGTGGAGTGAGAGGGAATCAACCGACCGCGGCGAAAAGGGGAGGGACCGGGCCACCGATCGACGCAAGGCAGGCGGCGGCAAGGGAGGACAAGCACGCGCGCTGGTGATCTCACGCTGGACAAGCAAGCAAACGCATCTGACTCCTCACACGCGACGACGAGCCGTCCACCCCATCCATCCGCTTGGCCGCCCCGCGCCGCAAAGCGCCGCGCTCTCGCTCGCACCACTTTCGGTCGGCGCGCAGGCGCAGGGCATGGGCCACGCCACGGCGCCCCCCCCCCCCCCCCCCCCCACACACACACACACACGCTCGCTCGCTCGCTCGAAGCGCCACTTGTCCCGGCCCTGCGCTCGACGTGGCCAGCGACACCGAGCCAGCGCGAGTACACGTCGACGACGTCGTCGTCTGTCCCTGTCCGGCCCCGCCTCGGCGTCGTCGGCTCGTCGCAGCGGAATTCCTGCCTGCGTGCGCGCGCCGTGGCGTGTTAGTGCACTACCAAGGCTGTGTTTAATTCACGCCGAAGTTGGAAGTTTGGTTGAAAGTTGGAACGATATGATTGAAAGTTTACGTGTGTAGGACAGGTTAATATGATGGAAAAAGTTAGCGCATGTCTAGATTCGTAGTACTAGTAAATGTCTCATCCAATCCTAGATTATTATATTATGGGACGGAGGGAGTAGGCAAAGACTGTATTTAGATTCAAAATTTTTTCTTCAAACTTCTAACTTTTCCGTCACATCAAATGTTTGCACAATGCATAGAGCATTAAATGTGGAAAAAAACCAATTACACTGTTTGCATGTAAATCGGAGACGAATCTTTTAAGCCTAATTACGTCATAATTTGACAATGTGATGCTACAATAAACATTTGCTAATGACGAATTAATTATGCTTAATAAATTCGTCTCGCAGTTTACATGCAGAATCTGTAATTTATTTTGTTATTAGTTTACGTTTAATACATCAAATGTGTGTCCGTATACTTTAAAAAAAATTTGGCACACGAACTAAACACAGCCAAAAATTGATCACAATCCAAATAATATCAAAGTGACTATTTGAAACTACCATATTTTGACATGGCACAAATTGGCACTAAGGTTATGTACAATGGTTTTTGTTAGCGGTCTCTCTTTATTGTCATGCAAGAATATTTGGTGACGTGAAAAAGAGAGGAAGAAGGAAAGAGAAAGATGGTTGCTACGCATGACAACGGCGTAGAGTCGAGTCTTAATATTTATTAGGAAATTTTTTTGTTGCGTTGAGTCTAATAAAGGAAAGATGACTAGTAAGAAAGTATTTTGGTATATTAATGGTTAGAGACCGTATTGTCCTAACTATTGTAACGTGATAGCCTCTAATTAACGTAGTCCATATCGATCTCTATTTTTGTACTTGCCCTAATCCAAACATGCTCTGCGTTACGTTGGTGCAGTGAACATGCATGCCGCGGCTGGTGGATGGATAGCTTGTGCATCGTGCATAAACTGCATATGCAGCGAACGGGTGCGGGAATATGCATGTGTGCGCGCGGCGCACATGCCGCCGAGGAGAAGCAGGGGAATTTATTACTCATCCGATGATCAGGAGTTAAAAATATGAATATTATACTACTACTCCGGTCGAGGAGCCGCCGACGTGAGAAGCTTTTTACGGGTGAATTTAATGAACGTACTGTAGTATTGAATACTGGTAACTGTCACAGTACTCCTTCACAACCGTGTCCTTGATTCTGGAACAAGACACGGAGTACGTATATCTAGCTGATGTATCTCGGTGCGTTTACCTTTTTTTGTGGAAACGAATTTCATCTTCCAAGTCTTTGCAAAAAAACGGTTTCTAGATACGAACAAGCTGTTGGAATTTGGATGGAGGTTGGAAGAAACCTGGTGTTGGTGGCGCTAGACCATAAAAAAAACAATCCTGTGGTGGACTCGCAACAGGCCACAGTGTCAAGCCACCCACCGTGGCCCCCCCGAAGAGCATCCTGCATCCAACACCCACAGCGCCGCGCCTTTCAGGTGCACCCGCTGACTTCGACCATCAAAATTCGTTTATACCCGTAGGTCTCCGCTTCCCATCCCAAATCACCAATTGCATTTCACCAAAAAAAAAACCTGTATTCGAACGAACGACCCAGGACTTTGACAAGTAAATTCCCAGTGACCTAAAAAAACGCCAAAGAAAATTTCAGAACACTTGAACCAGTAGCGAGACGGAGGAGGAGGTGAGATTGACGCGGAGGGAGACGGACGGAAGAAGCCGCGCGTTCCCACGGCACAACGGAGTCGACGCTCGTCCATCCATCCATCCACACCGCGAGCAACCGCGTGCGCGAAAAAATCCCCCTTGCTTCCCACGCTTTCTTTTCCTTCTTCCGTATTTTCCCATAATCCCCCTCACTTTTTACACACGCCAAAACGAATTTCCCCCATGTTCCAAACTTCCAAAGCTTCCCAAATAAATCCACAAGCACAAGTCTCCCCTGCCCTATATTTCTCCCCCTCTCCCTATATATAACTCTCACCCGCCACAAAACAGGTAAACAACTCGCCACAAGTTAGCTCAAGCTCGAGACAAAGAGGGAACCAACAGAAACCACCACGGCGGCGGCGGCGCGACACATCACCGGAGAGATGGCGGTGGCGGTGGCGGCGGCGGCGGCGGTGAGCAGGCAATGGACGAGGGTGCGGACGCTGGGGCGCGGGGCGTCCGGGGCGGAGGTGTTCCTGGCGGCGGACGACGCGTCGGGGGAGCTGTTCGCCGTCAAGTCCGTGGGCGCGGCGGGCGCGGCGGCGCTGAGGCGGGAGCAGGGGGTGATGGCCGGGCTGAGCTCGCCGCACGTCGTCCCCTGCATCGGCGGACGCGTGGGGCGCGACGGGTCGTACCAGATGTTCCTCGAGTTCGCCCCCGGCGGGTCGCTCGCCGACGTGGCGGCGAGGTGCGGCGGGCGGATGGAGGAGTGCGCCGTCGGGGAGTACGCGGTGGACGTGGCCAGGGGGCTCGCGTACCTCCACGGGATGGGGCTGGTGCACGGGGACGTCAAGGCGAGGAATGTCGTGATCGGCGGCGACGGCCGGGCGAAGCTCGCGGACTTCGGGTGCGCGAGGTGGGCGGATTCGGGCCGGCCGATCGGCGGCACGCCGGCGTTCATGGCGCCCGAGGTCGCGCGCGGGGAGGAGCAGAGCCCAGCCGCCGACGTCTGGGCGCTCGGCTGCACGGTCATCGAGATGGCCACCGGCCGCGCGCCGTGGAGCGACATGGACGACGTGCTCGCGGCGGTGCACCGGATTGGCTACACGGAGGCCGTCCCCGAGGTCCCCGGTTGGCTGTCCGCCGACGCGAAGGACTTCTTGGCCAGGTGCTTGCAACGGCGCCCCATTGACCGGAGCACGGCGGCGCAGCTGCTAGAACACCCGTTCGTCGCCTCCGCCGCCGGCGACGGCAAGCCGGAGGCCGCGAAGTCCAAATGGGTGTCCCCCAAGAGCACCCTGGACGCCGCATTGTGGGAGTCCGACACCGACGAGGAGGAAGACGACGAGCTGTCGCAGAGCACGGCCGAGAGGATCGGTTCACTGGCCTGCGCCGCCTCGTCGCTGCCGGATTGGGACTCCGACGACGGCTGGATCGATGTGATCTCCACCCCTACCGAAGAATCCTGCGAGACCACCACCTCGCCGGCCGACGAGGAGACGACGACTGACCTCAACGGCGACATCAGAACCGCAGAATTCGAGCTTCCCCACATTGACGTGGACAGCGGCAATGGCAACACCACCCACAATGTGGGAGAAGCCAATGCTCAGCACATTATTTCCCCTTCGAATTTAGTTTTCGATCAAGTACTATGTAAAACACCATTTTGTAACAAACACATTGCAATTGAATTCATACCATGTTTTCTCCTCACAAATGTTTTTCTCCCCCTTTCGCTGCTCTGTTCATACGCTCCTCACCCTTAGTCTCTGCCCTCCTCCTATCGCGCCACGTGTCCGCGAATTTACCGGCCAAAATTAACTGCGGTGACCAATACGTGCGGGAGTGAAACTGCGCGGCAGCTTGCTTGCTCTGCAAGTGCAACACTGCGCCCGCGTAGTAGGAATGAGAAATCGATCAGCTTCAGCAGTTCAGCTTCCCCACCACGGCACATACACACGCCCGAAGCTTCGCTTCCGACGCGAAAGGGATCGAGTCGAGTCGACACGGAAAGCGCATCGCAGCAGCGCAGCGTCAGGGCGGACGCAGAAAGGGGGCCGCGCGCGCGCGCGGTCAATAGCCTTCGGCCTCTCGTGGCGCCGCGGCAGCACAGACAGCAGCATATGGGCCCGTGTCCATTCAGCAAAGGCGAGAGAGAGCGAGCCGACGGTGAAAGGCGCACAAGGGGAAGAACCGAAGAAAAGGAGTTAACAAAAGGTGCCCATTTTACAAGTAAGCGTCGCGTCCTACTACTGCGAGCGAGCGTGCGTGCGTGCGTCGTTGCGGTTGCTTCCACCGGTGGGGATCCGGCATGGGAACGGGATATGCTACTACTGCCAACTTCGGTGTGACGGTGTCACGGTCCGATTCGTGATTCGTCCCCCCGTTGTTTTTTTCCTCTCTCTCTCTACGTGCAATTCACCGCGGCGCGGACTCCTCCTCGATCCCGTCGTGCGCTTCTGGATGGCGTACGTGTCGGGTGCGGGATGAGGCGGAGTCGGTGTTCCGGTGGGTTTAACGGTTGACGCCCATATGCTTTTAGCTTTTCCGATGTTTGCAAGACTGCGAAAAGGCTCCGTGTAGATTTTATTATTAGTCGACGCGATGACACGACGCGTACGGGACGCCGCCGCCCGTTTTATCACAAAAGCGAGCGATTTGAGCGGAAGTCCTATGCCCGTCATTTTTGGCGGGTAGAAGTAGAACAGTGATCGATTGGATTAGCATGAGAGCATGGATGAACATTACACATGCTCATCGTGCCTGGACCGCCGTCAGCAATTGAAATCAACGATGCAACACTCTCCCTCTGGTTTTTTAATTTGTAGTGATGTTGACTTTTGCATTTATATTTAACCAAACATTTTATTAAAAAAATTATATGTAAAATAAAAAAATAATGCTTAAAATTTTTTTAGTGATAAAATAAATCACAACAAAACAAATATATGATAATTATGTAATTTTTGATATGATGAATGGTTAAACATATTTCTAAAGTAAATGTTACCGTGCATTAAAAATCAAGGAGAGTACTTCTTACGACTTACAAGTAATTACAGATAAGATTGTTAAATCGCAGATTCTAAATCAAATTAACATAAGGTGTCATGGTGCTTACCAGCTGATGATTATATAGTACTCCCAGGCGATACATTTAACTACAGAGAGGTAGTTGCATATCAGACGTTTGATAGATTGCCCCTCTCGTTAATTAACCACCCGCAATGCAAACGTAAGAGCCAGCGTCATCCACGCATAACGCATACGTCGATCGAAATCGCCCGGTTTGGATTTGGTCGGCGTCTCCGCAAGCGCGTCAACACAATCCCGGTCGCCACCGCGAGCCGTACAACCCTGAAAGCTGTGGACGCCATCACGCCATCGAGCTGGGCGCCTGGGCCACAGTGCCACTTCCCCCGCACCGGCACCGCGGCGCCACGACGGAGTACGTACGTGCGTGTGGAGTCCACGCGCAGCCGAGCGCGCGGCGCGGCGTGGCGTTGCGCATCTCACCGCCACCACCACCGCGCCTCCTCGCCGTGCGTGCTCATCATCTCGTTCTCATCCGGTTGCCGAGACGGACGAGATGCCGAGCCGCCAACCCGAGCAGCGCAGTGCGATGCGAGGCGCGGCCCGGGCTTTCGGTTGCTGATTTATTTATTATTTTTTTCGTTTTTCTTTTCCTCCGGGAGGGTGTGCGGGTGCCGCTTTCTGGACGCTTTGTGCTTTTCTGTTGCTTTCGCCGCCATTCTCCTCCCTTTCAAGCAACGGGGCCGCCCGATCGATCGATCGATCGAGTGAAGGAATCTTAAAGGTCCGGAGAGATCTTCCGGACCATCGGATGTGCATATCGATCGCTGTCCTGGCTGCGCAATTAAAACCAGCTCATGGAATTGGCGTAATAATGACTGATTAGAGAGAGAGAGAGAGCTCTTTTACGCGGAGGGGTTATCTCACATGACATGACAGGATCATCACCACAGATATTTTATTGTTCCAGGCTGTAGCCAAAATCTTCTTGGGAGCCAAGCAAAACCAAGTACTACTACTAGTACTAGACCTGTAGTGGTAGTGCATCTGATAGAATATTCCCTTAGCTTAAACATGATTGGGGCAAATGACAGTTGTGATTTATACTATCTCTTGTGCAAGATGAGTTAGGTATGCGGCAAAACGGTGGTGACAATTGTTGGGCACGCACAGTCGGACTGGGATGGGTTTGGTTGGCAGCCGGTTGGCACTAGTTAGTTAAGCTTGCTTGGTGTGTAGTTATCTGAACAAACCCAAGTCAAAAATTACGTTGTAATATTCTAACTTGACCGGTAATTGATCGAGCTAGATACAAATATCCAAACCCCAAATTGATGTCCCAATACAGGCCTTCCAATCATTAGACCCCATGATACCACCGAACTAATTAACCAAAATAATCACCAGCTCAGCCTAATTAAGTTCGGTGGCGTCAAAATATGGCAGCCAACATAGATCAGCAATATAATAGTGGTACTACTAGTAGTATACTCACGCGACGAGCCAAAGCCAAACGGCCAATCATGAGGCGGCGAACCGGGCCGCGCCATGTGTGCGCGGTCGATCGCTTGTGCAACCCACCAAAACCGCGCGTTTTTCATCTGGAATTTTTTTGCCGTTTCTCCGTAGGATTTGCCGTTTGTCCCCACCGTCTCGCTCTCGCGTGCGCGATCGTTAGGCCACCGGCGCGCGCGGTGCCGGCGTGCCAACTGGATAGGCATTGGCTACGTGTATCGCACCGTCTCGTTTCGTCTCGTCTCAGCCAGCCAGATGGTCATTATTGCTCTCCGTTGCAGCTGTTCGGGCAGAAACCAACCGATCGAGCGAGATTTTGCTAAGGACTTGACTCGGCTGGGCTGACTTCACACTGGCGACCCTGGCTGGCTGGCTGGCTCCCATTGTTTAATTAGCCGGGGGAATTTGATTACTCGCTGGTCAAAAATCAAATTCGTTATTGTTTTTAAAACGAGAGACCATCGATCGTAGGTCAGAGGAGATACACCGACAAAGACACAAAGTGTTTAGGACATGTGCTACTACTTCTCAGAAGCACTCCTATAAACTATTCTTACTGTGTGTACTGTGTTGGTCAATGATCTTATGCGTTCTCTTTGAAGCCCACAGCTTCGCGTTTCTGATCTTCCAGTCGTACTACCTCCTACCTCGCGTGCTTCCGGCATGATAATTGCAGGATGTTGCTATTCATTTCTTGCAATGCCTAATATTTTCCACGAGGATGATGCGAAGGACAAATGTGAATTATACTAGTCTACTACTATGGCCTGTTTAGATTTAAAATATTTTCTTTAAACTTTAAATTTTTCCGTCACATCAAATGTTTTAACACATACATAGAGTATTAAATGTAGACGAAAAAAAATCAATTGCACAGTTTATATGTAAATCATGAGACGAATCTTTTGAACCTAATTACGTCATGATTTGACAATGTGATTCTACGGTAAACATTTGCTAATGACGGATTAATTAGCCTTAATAGATTCGTCTCGCAGTTTACAGACGGAATCTATAATTTATTTTACTATTAGTTTATGTTTAATATTTTAAATATGGGTCCATATACTTTAAAAAAATTGGCACACCACCAAAACACACGGTATATGAGAAAGGAAAACAGTGAGCAGCAACAAACAATCGCTGCAGCTTCTTCACACTTGTCAGGACCCCAGCAAGAAGATCCGTGAACTGATGAACCTACCAACCTGCACTTTGCCCGCGTACAGGCACAGGTGCCACGTTCAAGAAGAGAGAGAGAGAGAGAGACAGAGAGAGAGAGAGTTAGATGGGAACCGAAGGAACGTGAGCCAGATGGCAGAAATGCAGCCAAGTGATCGGTCCAGAAAACAAAAGAGATATAGCTGGGGCGGTAGCGAGGTTGGATCAACTACGCTGGTGCATACTTGCATAATCTGAGAAAATTGACAAGAGTTGTATACCATTTGATGGAAGCAGATCCGAAAAGCAACTCAATTTTAGTGGGTAATGCAATGAACATGATTTTATCATTTTAAGTTTGTTCACTTCGCTACCATTTTTAACTCTATCAATTTTGACATTACTAAATTTTAGTAAGGCAACAAATCAAACACATTTTTGCCATTGCTACCATGCCAAAATTAGAAAACCCAGAAGCTCTTACTCTCAAAACCTCAATCAATATTTGGTAAGACTTTAAACTAAACGTTGATACCAAAATTTAGTAACACCAAAACGTGCTAAATATTAGTAACATTGAAAATAACAATAAAATGAACAAAGCATTTACTTCGTTGTTAAAAGCATTGGGTAGGATAAATTAAGCACTGTTATTTCAAGATTTTAAATTCAACCATTAATAGAGTAGTATCATTTGACAGTCCCACCTCGAATAAAATCACACAATCCCGTCAATTCAATTGAAGGATTAAATTTCTCATTTTATGTAAAAGGATTAACTTAGAGCATCGAAACTCATATGATTATTGAGGATTTGGGGCGTCTCCACGTATACACATTATGGCCAATGAAATTGTAAATTTCTAATACACCACATATACACATTATGACCTACATGTTAGCTCTATACTTTCATGTTTCGTATACTTGCCAAGAAATTTATGACTAGGTGTCAATATTTTTTCGCACCTCCACGTAACTTCATGATCCTTATACCAAAATTAGGTATGTTTGGCTGCACTACTTCAGCTGTGACATAGCAATATTGCACACTACTTTGTGTCACTACAAGCAGTTGTGTGGCTGTGTGGTAGCGGCTGCAAAACGTGCATCCGAACACACCTATCAAGGTGAAAATAAATAAATAAAAATCTTATATAGAATTCTTTAACTAAATTGATTGTTTATAACATTCCAAAGAGGAGATAACTTTTGCGATACTATATTTGCCTTTTAGATAGTCTCCACGCAGTATATCTATCTTCAAGCAAAACTGCATGCAATTTCTCTGTACACAAGGGTATATACTTCTTCACCCAATCACCAAAACTGCATGGATCCTTCCACTTTCAACTGGCATTTCCCGGCTCATTCTTCTCCTTCTAGAGTACACCGCCAGTCCGCAACCCTCACACCCAACATTTTTTTAAAAAATTACACAGTTCCATGTTTGTTTATTTTTTCTAATGAAATCAATTTCATATTTCGAGTTTCGACTATCATTTCCTTGCTGATTCTTCGTATATTCTCCAGTACACAGCCACCGTTGCATAGTTGCACCCAACATCCGATTTTTTTGTTAGTTGCTGTCATGCTAATCCAATTGCCAAACCCAGATACCCAAGATTTGTGTAGTAGTAGTAACATCTGTCCATAGTAAAGAGCCCCGATCCGTCAATGCAAGCAACACGTTTCCCCCAATCCACCAGAGTTTTTGGGCGAAAAAACCCCAAACCGACACGCCGAATCCCTCCTCGTGCTGCAATTCTCCCTCGTTTTCCACTTGCCTCGCGCGCAAATCCCACGTTCCGTTCCACCCAAAGCCACCACCACGTGGCCCCCCCGCGATCAGGATGGCCCCACACGCCAGTGTCTCTACCCCGCACGAGGCTTCGCTCACGTGCTTTTCCCGCGCCCATGCGTCCGGCGCGCCACAACTCGCGCCGAACTCGCGTATAAGTAGCGCGCGCTCGGCTGCGGCCATGGCCAGGCAAAAAACAAAAAAAAATTCCGAGACATACATAGCCAGAGGAGGAAATCAATCGATAGTGGGCATGGATGCGGCGGGGATGATCATCGGCGGCGGCGGGCGGCGGAGGCTGACGAGGGTGAGGACGCTCGGGCGCGGGGCGTCGGGGGCCGTGGTGTCGCTGTTCGCGGCGGGGGACGACGAGCTGCTCGCCGTGAAGTCGGCGGCGGGGCCGGCGGGGGCGGCGCAGCTGCGGCGGGAGGCGGGCATCCTCGCCTCGCTCTGCTCGCCGCACGTGCTCCCCTGCTTCGGGTTCGGCGCCGTCGCCGGCGGGGAGTACGGGCTGCTTCTCGAGTTCGCCCCCGGTGGGTCGCTCGCCGACGAGGTTGCGAGGAATGGGGGCCGCCTCGAGGAGGACGATGTCCGGGCTTACGCGGCGGATGTCGCGAGCGGGCTCGCGTACCTCCATGGGGTGGGCATGGTGCATGGGGATGTGAAGGGGAGGAACGTGGTGATCGGCGCCAACGGGCGCGCCAAGCTCGCGGACTTCGGGTGCGCGAGGCGCGCCGACTCGGCTGGGCCGATCGGCGGCACGCCGGCGTTCATGGCGCCGGAGGTGGCGCGCGGGGAGGAGCAGGGGCCGGCGGCCGACGTCTGGGCGCTGGGCTGCACCGTCATCGAGATGGCCACCGGCCGCGCCCCCTGGAGCGGCGTGGACGACGTGGTCGCCGCCGTGCGCCTGATCGGGTTCACCGACGCCGTGCCGGAGCCCCCCGAGTGGCTGTCGCCGGAGGCGAACGACTTCCTGGACAAGTGCCTCAGGCGCCGCGCCGGCGAGCGGTGGACAGCCGCGCAGCTGCTGGAGCATCCGTTCTTGGCGCTCGCCGGATGCCGCGCCGTGGCCGCCGAGGAGACGAAGCCCAAGTGGGTCTCTCCCAAGAGCACGCTGGATGCCGCATTTTGGGAGTCGGACGCCGACGACGAGGACGACGACATGCCGGAGAGCTGGGCCGAGAGGATCATGGCGCTGGCCGTCCCCTGCTCTGCCGTGCCGGATTGGGAATCAGACGATGGCTGGATCGACGTCATGAGCAGCCAATCCGAACTTCCCATCGCGGCGGCTGAAACGCCGGCCGAGCAGACGCGCAGCGAAGTTTCTGAATCGCCGGTGGCTTCGCCGGCTTTGGAGACGACGAGCTACGCGAGTGCTTGGGATGAAAGATCGGAAGCTGTAATGGATGCTGACGTGGACGATGACGATGATGAGCTCGTGCACAATGTACGAACTGTTGATACCTTTGTGGATGAACAGCTCCGCCAAGATATTTATTTAGATTTTACTACTAGTGACCCAATTGTACTTCATGTTGATGTTTCTGATGAAAGAAAAGTAAAATTATTGCCTCCAATTCCTGACTGCCTCTGTTCCTCCCCTTCTCTTTCTTTTTTCGATTTTATTCACTCAAATCTGATAACACTACAAACTCAAACTACAAATCTGAAACTTCAAACCTCCAAAAATGTGAAATCGAGGGCAGCGGCATCAGCATTAATTCTTCAGAACGATGGAACGTAGACCTAAACCTCTGAATTTTCAGAACCAGTGATAACCATTTCAGTTACTGCTGGAACTGAGACGTGTTCGTTGGAACTCATGAAAATGACAGCCTCTGTAGCCGTGACCCCCCTTTATGACAACTCACCACAAAACCAATTCGTTCAACCACATCTCCTCATCTACTACCCGTATACACAACAATCTCAAACTCAAAGCAACAGCAACAAAAGCTGCATAATCCCATTCCAATGGCAACCTTTTTCATCCAATTGCCGCCAAATGTGGCAACCAACTGAACTCAATCTAGACATGAATCCAATTCACCGTCTCTGCAGCAACATCACTGTCTCCTCCTGCTGCTGCCGTCGGTACAAGTGGCGGCGGCGGCGGCCGAGGAGAAGTGCTTCTGCTGCAATGCTGTTGCTCCGGCGACGATGTGGTGGTAGTGTGCACGTTTGCTGGCAGGTTGGTGGTGGCTGCAGGAAAGCTGGGGAGATGAAGATGATGCAGATCAGGGGTGACACTTGGCCAAAATCTCTGGATTACCTCACCCCGGACAGGTGTACACTGGATGGATAGATAGATTTCCCTAGCTGCCTACCGTCTTGGAGTGGAGTGTTTGCTCTTGTTTCTAGATCCCTACAATTGTTTGTGGAGTACTTGAACTACCACAACATTTTTTTTACTTGGCACCAAATTAATCATATATATTTCTCTATGATCTTGTGCATGAATTACTACAGAATTAGTAGTTTAGTACTAGTGGTACAGTTCTTAAGAACACCACTTGACTAGCTAAAATTTTCAGCTGCAATAATTTTCAGCTGTAATGGTAGAACATGTGTTCATACATGTACTGGTCAAACTTTTTTTTTTATGTTCCATTACATAATTATTACAGAGTGCCTCTCAAGAAAAATAAGGGCATCACTGCATCTACACTTCTACTACATCTGAGAGTAGTAGTAGATTCAGTAATTCGGTTGCCAGCTCAACATCTGATAAAAACTGTCAAAAGCATCGCCATGTGTCATTGTCACTTATACCTTGATGCTATGAACAACCTTGTAGTTGTAGTACTACTTGGCATGAACTTTCTCCATGTTTCTTGAAGAGCAAGGGAGATAGGAGTTATAGTAGTGGCCATGCCAGCTGCATAATTCTAGAGAGATATCCAGGTGTACAAGTTGCCAGTATGCCACAGAGCCCAGAGGCAGGAACACCTAACTAAACTGTATTCGCTGGGTTACCTCCATGATCCATTTTAAAGTCAGCATCCTGCTGCAGAAAAAGAAAATGGATAATGAGATCTTCTATTTGACGAAAACTATCACCCTAAATTTGACTTCTAGAAGTTAGTTGAGTTTCCACAATTAATTTATCTGAATAAGTTCTGGACTGGTGGAAGTCTGCATGCCAAAGACTCCAGTTTTCAGAGAGAGTTCTGAAGACAACAATTCGAATTCCAGGTCTCTCGAGAGAAGATTCAGGCTTCTCGAACAACTAGATGTTTTGGCACGAAGCTGCGTGGTGCGTCAGCGCTTAATTCGATTGCACGCAGGGCAGGCTTCGTCGTTGACGACGGCTGTGACGCACTGCAGCTACCACCTGCAGGTCAGGTGTATCATCATCTTCTTCTTCTTCCTTTCAGAATTTTCCAAGTCAGCCCCTCCCGTTTCAGAACTTTCCAAGTCATTCTTGGAAGGTAACAATAGCAGTAGCAGTATTATTCTCTGGTGGAGGCTTCAGAAATTCAGACAAAGCCGCCTCCTCCGATCCACGCAGTGGTGCACCAGCGGTAATAAAATGATGAACTGAATTGACTCATACTCGCAAGTGGATAAAGGAAAAAAAAACAAAAAACAAAGAACATATTTCGACAAACGCAATTCCAAGTCAGCACAACTTGCACAGAAGTGAGATCTTTCTATAGTCTATTTAAACTGTACAGCACTACTGTTCAGCAAAGTACATATGAACATATCCAAAGAACCAAACGGAGTCAAGCTACTAGAAAGATTATATTAATGTTGTAAGCTCGTGCTTAATAGTAATAGACCATGGATCTGTGCCATGTTCTCGTCTACGGAAGCTCGAAACTTTTTACACGATAGCAAATTAGCAAGTGGAAGCTGCAGGCGAGCTTCAGTTAGCAGTTGGTGAGCGCAGGGGAAAGCTCAAAAAACGGCGACCCGAGTGAGTCAAATGCCAAGTGCGGGGCTGCGTGCCGTTTTGGTGGCCGGCGACGGAGGCAACACGGGCTCGTCGACTCGGCGAAGCGCCCTCGCGCGAGCTCACATTTAGTTCTCATTGGCATTGACCGGAGACATTCAGCCTCATCGTTTGGCTGATAAAGATGAGAAAGCGAAACCGCTGATAAAGATGAAAAAGTGAAACAGTATATTTACAAATGGAAAGTATTTTGTGTATATTCACAATTTGATCAGCTAGGCTTAGGCAAAAATAGAAGATTTGACGTTCTGATCTTAAAGCTGCTTCCTTTGTGGACTTGTTTTCTTTGCTTTATCTCTAGCTTGTTTGGCTATGCCAGCAGCACTAGTCCTCCTTTTATTTTGAACTGTGTTGCTTCTTGTAAAGCTGGAAACCCCAGCATTCTGTACTCTCTGTTATGCTTTATGAAAAGCTGGGCGTCTGCCTTTTCTCTAAAAGTATTTTGTGAATGAGACTTTTATATATGTGTTCTTAACGAATTAAAAGCAAAAGCTGAAAATGAACTATGATGAAAAAAAATAATTCCAAAATCTACTCTAAATTTAAGGTTGAAAATTTAATTTTTGGCTGATAAGTAAAGATGAGGCTTTTGTACGAGTTGACGATAACTCTTAGAATATTCCTGATCATAGCTTCCAGATCATTTTTTTAAAAAGAGTAACAGATGTGCCATAAAACAAACAAGATTTCTCTTGGATTAAAACTTACGTCAGCCTGATGTCAAAATGGCCCATTAAGTTTCAGTTCGCGTTTCCTCCAGCACTGGATCACAGAGAAATTATTGAAGGAAAATGTGCAAACCAAGGTTCTGAAATATAAACATGCGGGCAATAGTGGTTCAGATTATGGAGCAATGTGCGTGGTTCTCTTCTCACCTCCAGTTTCTCAGGGAGGGCTGAAAGTTTAAGCCTGTGAAAATCCAATTGTAAGCTCTGCTGCGGAAATGGTACTGCTCCAATAGCAATAGCCAACATTGGTGGTGTTTGAATCTTCTCAAGATGAAGATGAAGATAAAGATTAAGTGTTTCACGCAAAATGAGGTGGTAATAACGTGCGATTAATTAAGTTTTAATTATTACAAACTTGAAAAATGGATTAATCTAATATTTTAGAACAACTTTCATATATAAAGTTTTCACACAAAACACACTGTTTAGCAGTTTGAAAAGCGTGCCACGAGTATCCAAAAGTTTATCTAACTTTTGTGCAACAGAGTCACCTGATATACACACAGTCCATGAGATTATAGCAGCTGCAGCTTCCAGTCGTCTGAACTTTGGCTCTCCAAACAATTTAGATTCTCACCCAACTTTTGATAATCTGTAGCTAACAATCTAGAAAATTAATTAGAAAACAAAGGCTGAGAAACCAAGCTTTTCTTCTGGATTCCTAAAAGTTGATTGCCAAACAATTGATTTTTAAAATCTTAAACTTTTCAAACAGGGTCTATGCTAGCTCTATATAGATTATGGTGCTCCATCAGCATCTTCTTAGAAACACTGAATGTTCTGTGTGCACGTGCAAACAAAACAAAAACCGTGTAAGAGCAACCCATTGTTGTTGATTCATAAAAGGAGGATTGGTTCTCGGAAGATCATCACAATAAAGCAATGTGATGGCTTAGTCAATCTCAAAATATATACCGGTTCAATCTATTGGAGGTACATGTGCTTATAGGGCACATCATACATGCATGAACCATGCTGGTTTAAAATTTAATGATTTTCAGTTGGAGTAAACTGTCATGGGATTACCTAGATATTTGTTGATAATATTTCTCTCAGAAAATTGTGAGATGTAAATATAGGACAATCACATTGCAATTACATTGTAACCTGCAACTGCAATATAGCTTGGATGTAACTTTTAAAAATCCCATCATAAAACGCTATTTCTGCAATGGCGTAGGTTGGGGACCAAATCCCCTCATCCGTGCCTGTGCTATGTGATTTTTTTCCTTCTCTGCTTGCACAAATCTTGAAGAGTTCAAACCAAATTATATGAAAGTACATGCAAATTACAACATAATTATACTATTTATATTTGACAAATTTTAAGGAAAAAGTTGTCGGCGAATGTATAGCAAAACAATACTTCCTTTGTCCCAAAATATTGAACCTATGATGAGATTTGATTCATCTTAGGACAACGAATCAGGATATACTAGATTGTAGTTGTACTCCCTCCGTTTCATATTATAAGTTGTTTTACTTTTTTATTAGTCATTTTTTATGGCTAAGTTTATAGAAAAAATTAGCAACATTTATAATACCAAATTAGTTTCATTAAATTTAACATTGAATATATTTTGATAATATATTTATTTTGTATAGAAAATATTAAGTTTGATTATTAAAAAGTCAAACAACTTATAATATAAAATAAAAGGGAGTAATATTTTAGGATGGAGATGTCCTAAAGTATCCAGAGTTTCGGACTGTTGTCAGCCATCCATGATCAATCCAAAGGCAAAAAGAAATGGAGAAGGCTATACGTCCTAGCATTTTCTTACTAAATTCTTACTGATGTGTCATGCTACAATCGAATCGTGAATTGGAGAAGTAATATAAGAGAAAAAATAGTTTAAACTTTGCTCGAATAAACTTAAACCAACCTAATTATTGTTTTTCTAGTATGGATGCATGGCTTCCGATGCATGTAGTGGGCTGCACCTGGTGCGTCTGCATGCGTGGGGGATGCAGGTCGTCTGCAGTACGGTAGGAAATCTCAATTGATGCGTGGGTGGAAGCTAAAATCGGACGCCCGATCCGCAGTCACTTCCAAAAAAAAAATAGTACGTGTATTAATGCTCGAAAGAAATCTAGCGCCCTGTTGGTGTTGGAGTTGGAGATGAACCCAACCAACGGTCACACTCACACGCCCTCCTCTCCTCCATCCATCCATCCATGCGTGAATGCATGATGCGTCTCCCGCGTCCGGCGCCGCTGAACCCTCCTCTCCTCTCTCTCTTCCCTCCTGCTGGATTGCTTTGGTTTCTTTCATTTGTTGGCTACGACTTCCTTCTGCTCCTCTTTTTTCGTCGTCCTCCTCTCAACGGGAATCCGGTGATGCGCAATCATCGATCGGCGACCTCACCGCCGGCGACCGGACACGGGAACCCACGCGGCCTTCCTCCGCCGGAGTATCCTCCTCTCCTAGGCGCCGCCGGCTCGGATCGTTCTCTTCTTTGTTGGTAAGGAACAGTACGCTGCCCCTCATGTCCATCCCATCTGCAGTAGATTCAGCATTTACATTTCGTTTTGTGTATCTGTGGCGACGTGTTCTTGGTGAAAAATATGTATCGTTCAAATTTCAAGCAACCCAACGAAATACATATCATAAGTTTGAAATTTTTCACATTAAAAAAACAAAAAAAATCCCAAAACAGGACGAGCATTTTATCCAGCACTAATAATATGAAGCAAACCGGCCGCTACTTGTCATTTGATATCGAGATTGTGAAGGTTGTGTACATATACATCGCTTGCAGTGTTTTTCGTTTTGTTGCTGTCTGAAATGCTCTTCTAGCAAACGGGATGAAGGATCTCTGTCTCCCTGGGCACAAAAACCACATCAACTCTCTCATATATGTCATTGAAAACAAAATCCATTATTGTCTCTCTGATAACTCAGTGTTAGTTTATCTGCATAGTTTCAGGTGATCAAGAGTTGCAAATAGAATGTTGACCTGTTGCTGTTTAGATGACACCAGATGATAATGTGAGCTTCTACACAATGCTTTCCTGTTTCATTTCCCTCTATTTTGCCTCAACACAAATTTGTCCGCTAAAGATTTTTTTAGTGTTGATCCTGGCTATTTTTCACATTCTCTGAAATCTGAAGGCCCTTATTACTTTAAAGAAAGGCAGCAAGCTTATCAAGTATAGCCGGAAGGGAAAACCCAAGATTCGTGAGTTCAGACTTTCTAGTGTAAGTTCATATGTATGTTCGTTTGCAATCAATGTCAGCTCTTTGCTACAGGATGAAAGTAACGATATTTTTTTTTATCGCAGGACGAAAATACATTAGTTTGGTACTCCCACAACAAGGAAAAGTGCCTCAGACTGTCTTCTGTGTCTAAAGTTATACCTGGACAGAGAACTGTAAGTTGAATTGCCACCGGACAGTTAACTGTTGGTGGTTAATTTGCTGGTAAACATGAAGCAAGAAAAATATATGTTGTTGGTGATACTCCAAGAGTAAACTGTTTCATTTTAAACATGCAGCAAGAAAAATATATCTTGTTGGTGATACTCCGAGAGTAAATTGTTTCATTTTAATGAATTTTTACATTTTTTTTCGAGCCAAAGAACTTTTACGTTTTAAGTTGTGATCTTATGGATTTTCAATTTTTAACAGGCTGTTTTTAGGAGGTTTTTACGCCCTGAGAAGGATTACCTATCATTTTCCCTTATATACAAGAACGGCCAACGTTCCCTTGATCTGGTAAAATATAAATTCTTTGTACTCGTTTTCATTAACTGGGGTTAAATGATTTTACCCCTAGGTGCTATAGTTTATGGAACACAATAATTTTCTTACAGGTTTGCAAGGATCAAGCTGAAGTAGAAGTGTGGTTTTCGACACTTGAGTCACTGATTACTTCATGCCGTCTAAATTTTCTGAATGATGGTCAAACTGATAGAGTATCATTTTCTGAAGTGAGTTATTCTCCTTTCCCCATTTACATTATTTTAATTTATATTAAAGTCGAGTACAAACAAAAATTCACCTTCATTTTCTACAACAATTTATAATCCAATCCTTGTACAAATGTGGCCATCCCTTTTAAGGATTTGATTGGACTGTTGGAGGTTTCAGCTTCCTTGAGATTCCGATGAGCTAATAAAAATATAGGATGCACAAAAACCATATTTGAGCATACAAAATCATTATTGTTAAACAATTATAGAGAATTAATATACCTAGTAAATCACTTCTGTCATTATGACACCGACTAATTCTGTAATAGTTGTTTGACTTAGCTAGAATATCATCACCTTACTGTTCTTGTTTAACAAATGTTTCTTTTTTCAGGACGTAACAATCTATCAAGATAGCACTTCCTATGATACAACGCTAGATATCGCCTCAAGTATTACACGTAGTTTTAACTCAGCTGGTTATAGCACACCGAATTCATTGAATTCTATTAGAGCAGATGTTGGATCAGACCGCGTAAATATGCTAAGAGCAAGTACAGGAGACAATAGCCGAGTTAGTATTTCCAGTGCCCCTAGTTCTTCCAGTCAAAGTTCTGGACTAGATGACATCGAATCCCTCGGCGATGTTTATGTATGGGGTGAGGTGTGGACTGAGGTGCTACCCTCTGAAGGATCCTCCAACTATTTGTGCAGCAAAACAGATTTTTTAATTCCAAAACCTCTAGAATCAGATGTTGTTTTGGATGTTCAGCAAATAGCATGTGGCTCTAGGCACATTGGCCTTACTACTCGGCAAGGAGAAGTATTCACTTGGGGTGAAGAACTTGGTGGACGGCTAGGCCATGGTACTGATACTGATATCTGTCGTCCCAAACTTGTCGAATCCTTGGCAGTGTCCAATGTGGAATACATTGCGTGTGGGGAGTTTCATACTTGTGTTGTAACTGCATCTGGTGATCTGTATGATTGGGGTGATGGATCATACAATGCTGGATTACTTGGGCACGGAACTGGAGTTAGCCATTGGCTTCCGAAAAGAGTTTCAGGGCCTCTAGAAGGGCTTCAGGTACTCTCTGTTGCATGTGGCTCATGGCATTCAGCACTGACCATGTCAAGTGGAAAACTTTTCACATTTGGTGATGGCACATTTGGTTCTCTTGGTCATGGAGACCGTGAAAGCGTTGCATATCCAAAGGAGGTAGAAGCTTTGAGTGGATTCAGAGCAATGAAAGTTGCATGTGGAGTATGGCATTCTGCAGCAATTGTGGAAATCAGTGGTCAGGCAAGCACAAATGCAATGTCAAGAAAGCTGTTTACATGGGGAGATGGAGATAAGAATCGCTTGGGCCATGGCGATAAAGAAGCGAAGCTAGTTCCAACATGTGTTCAAGCACTCGTTGACCATAATTTCCATCAGGTGGCCTGTGGACATAGCATGACTGTTGCTCTTGCCACATCTGGCCATGTTTTCACAATGGGTAGCTCTAACAATGGCCAGCTTGGGAATCCAAAAGCTGATGGTAAACAACCATGTATGGTGCAAGATAAGTTGGGTAATGAGTTGGTTGAAGAGATCTCATGTGGCTCTAACCATGTAGCAGCCTTGACTTCAAGAAGTGAAGTATATACATGGGGCATGGGAGCCAATGGAAGGTTGGGACATGGTAGTGTTGAAGACAAAAAGAAGCCAACTCTTGTTGACGCATTGAAAGATCGTCATGTTAAGAGCATTTCATGTGGTTCAAATTTCACTACATGCATTTGCATACATAAGTGGGTTTCAGGTGCAGATCAGTCTGTTTGCTCTGGATGCAGGCAGCCATTTGGTTTCACAAGAAAGAGGCACAATTGCTACAACTGTGGACTTGTCCATTGTCATGCATGCAGTTCTAGGAAAGTGCTCAAGGCTGCTTTGGCACCAACTCCTGGCAAGCCACACCGTGTATGTGATTCATGTTTCATGAAACTGAAAGCCGCGGATACCGGCGTTATCAGTTCATATAACAAAAGGAATGTCATCACCAGGCGATCCATTGATATCAAAGATAAGTTAGAGAGACCAGAAATAAGGCCTTCCAGACTTGCAACGACATCACCAGCAGAGCCAGTCAAGTATCAAGAAACAAAAAATGTTAGAAATGAGACAAAACCAGCCGATCCTATGTCCATGATGAAAGCATCACAAGTTCCTGCCATGTTGCAGTTCAAAGATATGGCTTTTGCAGGAACATTTGGTACAGTTCCAACTACCGTAAAATCTATGACAATGGGAGGTCAAATGCAAATGGGCATGCCAATGTTTTCACCATCGCCACCGTCAAAGAAGCCAAGTCCACCTCCAGCGACCGCAAGTCCTCTGATCGGTAAAGTGGACAATGATGGCTTGAAGAAGACTAACGAGTTGCTGAATCAAGACATTTCCAAGTTGCAATCTCAGGTATGAAAGAACACTCTAGATTGTTCTATTTCTTCAATGTGATTAGCTGAATTTGTTAAAACCATTTTTTATGTTGACAGGTTAATAAGTTGAAACAGAAATGTGAAACTCAAGATGAGCAACTACAGAAAGCAGAAAGAAAAGCTAAACAGGCTGCCTCTATGGCTTCAGAAGAATCTGCTAGGCGCAATACTGTCTTGGATTTTGTTAAGCATCTTGACAGTGAGGTACATTAAACTACTATTACTGTGCAACTCTTCATCTATTATTATACTTTCCATGATAGTGTACGTATTTGTTCTACTGTATAGTTTGGAGTATAGTAGCTCTATTGTGTTCCATTTATATTACTGACACGTTTCTATAGCTCAATCAAAATACAATAAAGGGCGCACGATATAAAATCATGTTTATCATGTTATCCTAGTGTCTTGTATGATCATAATTGCTTCAAAGTTCATGTTTATTTATCATTATTAGAGGATATACTCATGATATCACAACCCTCCATTCTTCAGCTCAAGGTTATTGCAGACAGGGTGCCCGGTGATGTTGCTGACAACTTAAAAACTTTGCAAAGCCAGTCGGAGAGATTTCTTGCAGGACAAAGTAGTAATCTAGTGGAGATTACTGGCCTTACTGGACATGATATCGGACACCATAGGTCAAGTAGCACGGGTAGCCTGCCAGTGTCTCAAGATGGCAGTTCTGGAAATGCTAGTGGCTCTTCCATTGCCATGGCTAGTGACTCTCCATGTCACCGTATCATGGAAAACAACTTGAAGGCTCCAGGTGACTTCGCACCAAAGTATGGTACTCATGGAGAAGTGCAGTTGATTGAGCAGTTTGAGCCAGGAGTGTATGTGACGCTTATCCAGCTGAGGGATGGCACCAAAGTATTCAAGCGTGTCAGGTTCAGGTATTCCATCCTCAAATCCTTCTTGGATGTAAAATATATCTTCCAACTTGATTAATCTATCAATAGTCCATCTTTCAAAAAACAACACTTGCACCATCCACACTTTTGAAGGAAAAACTTCGAAGCTTTTGTTTACAATTGAAGTGTGTTCAGTTCAAGATGTGCACTGAAAGCATAGTTCTTTCTATGTTTTTGTTTGAAGCAACAACTCCAGGTGATCATTTATTTATGGTTCATTCTTCTACAATCTTTTTTTTTTGTTTAGCAAGAGGAGGTTTGCTGAGCAGCAGGCTGAGGAATGGTGGAGGGAAAACCAAGAGAGAGTGTTCAAGAAATACAACCATCCAACTAACTAGGTTCCAAAGAAATAGCAGTGAAAGCAACAACCCATGTGAAATTACTTGTCATTTTTAGAATGAGCTACTGGGTAAGAATCTTGTTTTTCTCTTATGCTTAGTAAATTTCTTTTCTTTTTTAAGATAATGGAAGTATAACTTCTGGCCTCTAGACCAATTAGCAATGCACACAACCATATTTGTGGATGAACTTTGGTGGATAGAGTCAGATACTAATGCCTCCACAACCACACGGATGGTGCCTACTGAATTGCTGATATACATCTTGAAGAGTATTGATGATTGTCCATTCTTTTGTTCGTTCACAGTTTTTTATTTGTATTAGTACATATACACACTAAGTACATTAGTTATTGTAAGAGAGGAATCTTTGTAAACAAACAGTGTGAGTTGTAACTAGTATTTCATGAAGGAAGATCATCATTTGATATTTGTCAACCTTAATGTTCATTAAATTTTGAGTGAAGTGTACAAGCAATCTCTAAACTTGTGCATGCGTATCGTCTAGGTCCTTCAACTCTTAAATATATTTTCGGATCCCTGAACTTGTCCTAAGTGTCATATAAGTCCAAACGTTCTCTAATCCACTTTGTGCGCTGACATGATATGCCATGGTGATGTCTACATGTTGGTGGGATCCACAGGTCAGTCACATCTGGATCATCCATCGATGACCAGCAGAGCCACCATGGTGTTAGATGTTTATTTTGGCTTTATATTCCTTTATTTGTAAAGGTTTTTTTTTCTGCATATTTGTATGCACATGTACCTGTATATATTTGGGCTTATTGCCCTTAGACGAATACAAGTGCTATCTATAACATGGTATCGAGAGCAAAACTAGGGTTAGACTCTTCTTCTTCCCCTAGATGATCATTTTTTTCTCTCTACGTACGTCTTCACTTACGTGCATCAATTCTTCTATCTCGTACCTCAGTTTTTGTTTTACGTTGTGGTCACGGGCCTATAACTACCGTGGCAGTTGGTTATTGCTGCCTCTTTGCCGGCTACCACCATCATTGTCGGTTGCCACCTGTTCGCCGATGCCGCCCATCCCCGGCCACTGCCTGCTGACCGCCGCTCATTCTTGGCTGCGCCGCCCTTCGCTGGTCGTCTCTCGTCTTCGCGTGCTTGCTTGTTCGCGTGTCACTTCTTTTTTGGTCGGATTCTTTTTGACCGATCAGATCCGAGTGAAAAAAAAGTTAAAAATTTACTTTGGGTCATGTTTTATTGCAAAAGTTTCAGTTTGGACCATAATTTGTCCAATCATTTTATTTTGGACTAGATAACTTTATCTTTGTTGCACAAGTGACCACCCCAAGCCACATCTTTAGCACTTCAATGACTTCGAGCAAATTGTTAATGACATGTCGACGAATTTTCATACCTATATGCATGTCATACCTTTATCGAGGGAGACACTAGACATGATTAGAAAATAGAGTTAGGGTGGTCTATTATGCAACAAAGGTAAAGTTATCTGGTCTAATGTGAAAAGATTAGGTATAGGATGGTCCAAGTAATATTTTGGCAATAAAACATGGCCCGAAGTGCAATTCACTAAAAAAACGAGCGACTCTCGTAGTTGCGGTAATGCGGTGCGGTCTTCTCCACTGCTGACTCGTGGTCTTCTTCTTGACCGAGGCTTGTTACTTAAAAAAAAAGAAAGGAAAAGATAGAAAGAAAGACATTTCCTGCCTCTGCTTGCTGCCACTTTATTTTTGCGCTTTCTCCGTCACCCATTGATCTTTGATGATGTCTTCTTTGTCAAGCACAATTTCAGTTTCTCATTGCCCGGATATTTTTGATGGTGTCAACTACAATCACTGGGTTCAGCATATGCGTCATCACATGCATGATAAGAAACTTCACATGAGGGGGAACAGTAGTGCGGTGTCGATCTACTCATGGGTGAACACTCAAACATATGATAGTAAACTTCTCCAGGTAGATGAACACCTGACATCAATCATCTGGAAAACTAGTTGACACCCCGTGCTTTACTGAGGAATATGTGGATGAATGCATGTTATACATTATAGAAATGTTAGATGTGTATGTTTAAATAATGTGAAAATGATGTGGAGATAATGAGTTGACATTGCTTACATATTGAGTTCTAAAAATACAATAAAATTTTAAATGATATGTCATGTTTGCATGATATTTAAAATACTCTAGATAATAATTGCTAGTGGGTGATGATCTGGTATACTTGCATATGATTTAAAATACTCTAGATAATAATTGCTAGTGGATGATGATGTGATACACTTGCATGTTGAGTTTTAGAAGTTAGTGGACATTAATTTTATTATAAGATAGGATTCCCTGTCAAAAAAAATCATATGGAAAAATTCAGATTCAGGTACTGAAAAGGATTTGGAAAGACACTCCCCCTTATTTGCTTGGCCTGATTAGTGGGCGCTTATCCAACCTCGCTGGCATTCCTTCCTTCTCTGGATGGGTTGGGCCTAATTAATTATTTTAGCCAATTAATGTGTGTACATGCTCGGAAATTCGAACATAAATCAGAACTCCGTATATGCTTATAGGTCAAGATTGCGTCCCATATAAACAAACAAGGCCAAACTCTTTTTCTTTATTTCTTTCTTGTTAGATCGTTCCAGATGCACAGTCGGCGGAACCAAACCGAATCCTGCATGTAAGCCAACGCCACGCGATCTGTAGGTTTGTTTAGTGATGGACAACGACGGCGACAACAGTGGAGACATAAGAAATCACCTCGATTCTGCCGATGCTACTTACGCTGCTCTTCACCCGCTTCCCCCTTCTCCGCCGCTACAAAGGCAATGCAAAAATTCTCGTCTCTAATATTTTTACAATTCACTGGTATGATGTATGAAACGCTTGACGATCTTACTTGTGTTTTTATGTGCAATAGCTTTCAAATTTGTTTTTAAATATAGGTATTCTCAGAGTGAGTGTGATACAGACGAAGATAATGTTGTGCATTCCAACTATTTGGTCGTAGACAGTTTCACGAATGTTGCTACAGAATTAGTCCAACCAAATCAATCGGATCATGATAGTAATAGTGACTTTGAGGAGGTTCTTCAGTGTATTTTTTATGTATATGTAGAGACTGCTCTGAAACATTACAACAATGATGAGAAAAACAACGTAAATTAAGTTTGTCAATGAAGCATTACAACAATGATGAGAAAAACATTACAATAATGATCACTATGCTATTATCGTTAATTTGTCAATGGTAGAAACATTCATATTCATATCCGTGTATGAGTCAGTTCTTAAGTTCGTTCGCTTTTGAAAATGCAGATCCATATTTGAGTCGGTTTTAAGTTCGCTTTTGGAAATACAGAATGAGTCGTATAAAAAATCTCTTTAAAAAACTCGCATGCTAACTTGAGATGATCGAACTCCTAATTACATCTCATGATTTTGTAGAGAAACATAAATCCAATCGAATTCTCATAGTGAATTTTACCTTAACTAAAATGTATAATAATAATAAGATTAAAATAAGCTTCACCCGTTGCAACGCACGGACATTTTTTCTAGTCATTCTAGTAAATAATAAAAGTTAATAGAAAGAGAGAATAGAGAGAGACATATTATATCATATATGGTATAGGTAAAACCGACTCGTATTCTTCCTTTTTATCTTTAGTTTTCTACACTTAACGGTCGTACTCGTATTCTTAAGAGTATTGTTTTGTGGTGAGGAGTCGGAGTTGAAGTCGTATTTGGATCGAACGTTCAGTCCCTTATATTGAGTTGAGTTATTATTATTCACGAATAGCTAAGCAATGTCTCTTGTCAGGCCGGCCGTATCAAAATTCGAAACCACAGGAACTTCACCTAGAAAGCGAGAGCGAGAGGATGCGGCCTTCGTTGTCTTCACCTCTAGTAACGACGGGGTAAAACACAAATACGCCATTGTTTTTTTTTACAAGTTGTAACAAAACAAATAAATTAAACTCAAATTGTGCCCATCTGTGTTTTTCGGATGACTAGCAACAAGGTCTTCTTTGTAACTCCGGCCCATCAAAGCTTGTAAAATTACACATGGATGGGCCTGAATTGAGGCCCATAAAAACGAGGCCTGGCCAACGTAAGTCCGTAACCAAACCCGACTCCGGACAGGAGGGCAGCGGCGAGGGTGTCGTTCCGATGGGGGAGGAGCGGCCACAAGCGTGGCTTTGACAGGAGGGCATAATTCCCCATCGTTAATTTATAGCGATCCCATTACTGGGAAGATAGTGGAACTTCCTCCCTTCCCCTATCGTCGTTCGTAAGAAAAAAAATCTTATCTGAATTCTCCATTTCATCATTATCACTACCAAGCCTGAAATGATTGATTGATTGTGGTAGAAAACCCGCCAAAGTCAAAGTAGATACCCGAGGTGTCCCTAAGGCCAATGTCAAAGTAAGCTACTACCTCTATCTTAAAATAAGTATAACCGTGGGTATTTGTGTCCAACGTTCGACCGTCTATCTTATTTGAAAAAAATAGTCACATATAAATTATTGTTCATATTTTATCATTTAGTAATCATGAAAATACTAATCATGAAAAATATTCAAATAAGACGAACGATCAAACGTTAAACATGATCAATGTAAAATTGTAATTATTTTGGGACGGATGGAGTACACAATACTACTTCCTCCACCTCATCTCCAAAGGCAAGCCTCTTGTCGTATATGTATGTGATGGCGTTGTGACAGTAGTAATTAGCTTCTCTTCACTGTCTAGTTGTGCTACTAGTTCATAAAAACCGTTGGTTGCATTAATGTCTGAACCAAAGTAACATCTTTTATCTTATGATCCCTAGCCGTGGTGAATCCATGATAATTTAATGTCTGAACCAAAGTAACATCTTCTATCTTATGATCCCTAGCCGTGGTGAATCCATGATAATGATATTGGATAGGCTCAAAGCCTAGGCTAAGCCTGAAACTGAAACAAAGTTGCAAATCAAATTCAATGTTTACATGATCTAAAACAAAACAAAACAAAACAAAGGAGTACCTTGCCAGCACCAAGTTCACTCTTTTAGGTCTTAGCAAAAAGTCAAGTGAGCTGCCACATGTATATACAAAGTAGTAAAATTAGTGGCAAATCAATGGCAATGTTGAGAAAACTATTTGGACCTTGAAACATTTGAAACCCAACATGTTAGAAATACTTGCATAATTTTCTAGTGGTATTCGTTGTCCTGGATTGGCAAAAAAAATCATTAGGATCAAATTATAGATAGTTGAAGCCTCTTTTATCGATTTGTGCTCTCATCATTTGGCAAGTGTCAACTGAACTGTAAGTAATTAAGCAATGTTAGAACTTCTCCATTGTGAATCCACCAATAAATCAAATATATTTTTCATAAATCTCAATATCCCATCATCTCGTATTCTCATTCAATAGACAAATACCTTCTCTTGCCGTATATGCATGCATATTCTCATTCAATACACTTCTCCTGCCGCCATATATGCATGCATAATCTCATTCAATAGACTTCTCCTGCCATATATGCATGTATGTGATTATCCATTAATCTTTGCTATGGTCTCTTGCTGTATATGCATGTATGTGATGGTGTTGTGACAGTAGTAGACTAATAGCTTCTCTTTACTGTCTAGTTGTGCTATTAATTCATAACACTGTTTGTTATATTAATTGTGTGATTTTATGATGCTTAGATCCTTTGTTTGATCATTCTGTATTAGTATCACCCCCTTAGTAATTATTCATGTTCATCACGGTTATAAAAAGATGGTGTTTGCATTACTATGGACACTGTTACACTTACCAACTTGATTAATAAAAACACTTATTTTTCATCACCCCGCCATATTTAGATTTATTCTCCACCTCTATCACATCGAATGAATATCTTCATGTCTTCACCACCTCTTGATACACATACACTACCACTCATATTGCTAGCAACAGGAGTGCAATAATTTTCTTTTACACTTCTATAATTTCTCTGGTATGTATGCTTAAACTACTTGTATGCCTAACTTATTCAGATTCTTTTTAAATATAGGTATCATGAGAGCGAGTCTGATGCAGAAGAAGACAATGATGTGTACTTCAATTATTTGGTAAACAAGTTCATCAATGTTGCTACAAATGTAGTCCAACCAAATCAATCGGATGATGATAGTGATGGTGACTTCGAGGAGGCTCTTCAGCGTATTTCTAATGAATATGCAGAGAGCTCTCTGAAAAATTATAACAATGATGAGAAGAACAAAATATAGTTTAGCTTGTGTTTTTTAGGTAAAATGTGTTCACTTTTTTATTTATGTTTAATATTTAAAAATAATTAAAACATATGCATCGATAATTTAAAATATTTACATCTTTTTTTACCATTCAATATTCATATATGTGGAATTATAAAAAAAAAGTTAGAATTGAGTATATAATCTAGACGAGAGCAAATTATCCACCTACCTAATGATTTATAATAGGACTATGTTTATATTGTGCTGCTTTTCTAGTATATAATCTGTTGTTTAGTACTTCCTCCATTTCATATTATAAGACTTTTTAGCATTGTCCATATTCATATATGTGTGCCTAGATTCATTAATATCTAAATGAATGTGGACAATGCTAGAAAGTCTTATAACCTGAAACGGATGTAATATTTTTTTAACTACTTAAGCCCACATCAAAATTATCTATTTTGTTTTTTTGTTTGCAATATATCAGATTAAATACAGTTTAATCAAAGCTATAATATTTTTCGCTGAAGTGTATTGGGACTGTAACACATATGATATGATACCACATTGCATGGTTTGTCTGGAGGGGAAAAATAATACTGGTTAGTTCTGAAACCTTGAGTCCATAGTATCTTATAGTGTGTATATTTTAATTTTATTATAGTATTATATTGCTAACGACCACAACGTGACATCTGGTAATACAACAAAGAGATTTTCCTCCCTAGGAAGGTAGTGCAACAAAAGGACAAATATATATAGTATAAAGCACATATGTACTAAGAACATGCAGGTGTGAGAACAAAGTCGGTGTTAGTCCACCCTCAATTTTAGATAAAAATGCCTTACTTTTGGATGGAGGGAGTATTGTTTGAATAGAATACATAGACATAGATTGACATAAATTTAATAACTATGTGTAGCATTTTTTTTAAATGATAAACATATTTCTCTTATAGAGATTATTGTCGAAATACAACTGCATCACATCGAAGGGCGTGGTTCACTCAGTGAGTTAATGAAATAATAAAAGAAATATATTAATTGGTAAAATTTTGTTGGGATCCCCCATTACATGGCCCTATGGGCCTATTTATAGTCTTAGTACGGGCTCATACCCTCTAGGGTTTAGTTAGTACATGGGAATTTACATGGATACCCTTATGATAGGGATATTAGTGTGGGTACATAGTGTCTTTTGTATTCATGGGCTCTTAGGCGGTCTCGTTGGGCCGGCCCATTAATGATGGCCGAACCTACGGGCCACAAGGCCTCCCAGGCCTATGGTCGAAGGCCCCTTCTACCCAGGCGAAGGCCTCTTGCTTCGCCTTATGGCCTTCGCCCTTAGCGGTGACTTGGCCAAGTGGTGGGCTTGGGGGCGGACCCTTCGTTCTTCGTCGTTCGGCTTCGCCCAAAACGCTTCGCCCTGGGGTTGTGAGCCTAGGGGCGAACCCTTCGATCTTCATCGTTCGGCTTCGCCCTATGACTTTGCCCCGGGCACACCCTCTGGACTTAGTCAGTGTCTAGCGGATTTGGTGGTTTCGGCAGGTCCGGTCGAAGGCCCTTGTGACATACCTCCAACAGAGATCTAGAATATATAACATGTGACAAATATATTGAACTACCATAATATATTTTCTAAATATACTCCTTAATAAATAAATAAATAAATGTTATTTTTCTTTTATTATTATATCTCGTGAAACAAAGTCATAAATATAAATACATAATAGTCTTATATAACAAACTTATACTTTGCCGTTGCTTGTAGTTCATTAGACCAAGCCACCATAAGATGGGGTCGTGGCCCATGGTTATGCTGGGCCTAGGCCCACCTAATGATCGAGGTCTCACATAATGGTGGGCCACAACCCACCATATGCTTGTTTCTTGTTGTTTATGATGTAATAATTAAGCAGGAATGGTCTCATTAGTTCAACGTGCTAGAAATCACAAATTATGTCATGTCGGATCCATGTTGTCAAGTTGTCCTGCGATGACACCGGAGCAGGTGGTTCTATTGTTTTAGTTTGCCTAATGATGGTTCAGTGCGTCACTAATTCGTGACGACGGAAAATCGTTAGAGCCATTTGTTGGTATTTTTTTTTAAGTTGCACATGGTAATTTCAGACGGGGCTTCTGCAACGACAGTGTCATTTCATCACAAGATTGTCAAAGAATATGGTTTGTGACGAGCTTTCGCTATTTATTGATGAAAGTGACTCATCAAGTAAGGCTAGACCATTGTAGTGACTTCTAGTAATATACTCCACGTCTACAAATTTTCATATTTCTTTCATGCCAAAAGACAAAATGTACCTTTTTTTAGCAATTTAACAATCAACTAACGAAGAAGAGATTAAACCCAAAATTCAAAGACACATAAAGGAGTGTACAAAACTCAAACACCTAGAAGGTATACTAACATTTTAGGGGCGTAGAAGTAATTTTCTCTTAGCGAATATAGGAGTACCAAGAAACAATCTAAGTCAAATTATTAGTATAGTACGTGGGTAGTCCCTAGCGTCGATTGTTTCTTCAATCTCTATTATTATAAAAACTGAAGATGTTTTTTCTGGTACTTTAGTATGTTATTCGTGTATGAGTCAGTTCTTAAGTTCGATCACTTTTGAAAATACAAATCCGTATTTATTATATAATGACTTAGAATTTTCATGTAAAACGATGGATGAATGAAAAAAAATTGCGAATATACCTATTTTTTTAATAATTTACGTTTATATAACTACATGGGATGGATTTAAAAAATACACCCGTCCTGCGGGATGAGAATGCGCGACCGCTACGGTCCCGCAACTCCAAAACACGGGACGGTCGGTCCCGCGGGACGGTCACGCCGCACCACGACGGTCCCGCAGCTTCAAAACATGGACCGTCACGGTCCCACAGCTCCAAAACACGCCACCGCAATAGACAGCAAATTAACATTGTTTGATCTTTAATCCAATTAGATGTATGCATTATATTTATTAGGGTGATCTAAACGAAGGGGTAATATTTTTTTTATTAGATTAGTGGTTGTTGTGCCTTATATTTTAGGATACAGGGAATATCTGAACTCAACGCAGATAAGATGATGAGAAGATGCATGATTCCAAGGTGAAGTCCATTTACAACGATTTTAACTCACATTTGTGCTATATATGTTACAAGTCACAAGATTAATTACAGGCTTAATTTACAGCAGCCAGGACCCTCCAGCACAAGACGATGCATCGTCTGGATTCTGAATGACCAGCCAACAACACCTCAAGGTCCACCTTGTAACTCACATACCGATACCGTGGTGTTATTGTTGGATTCTCAATTTGCCATATGCACACTTTTAATTTTACACTCCAAACTAGCTGCATTCATTCATATTCGTGGTGATTAATTGATCCAAATATACACGAACAGCTCTGTGTATGGAGAATTAACTCGTCGTTGAGCTGCTAGAAGCAGAATTTCTTTTTCTGCAAAGGCATATATAAAAGAACAGAATTAGATGGCTCTGCTGCTCTTATCTCAATAGCAAGAAAAAGAGTGTAAGAAAGCTGTAACGTACACGAAACTTGATCATATCTTGCTTGTCAATGTACGCAAGCAGCTCGTCCTGCCGCATCAGGGCTTCATAGAGAGCCTGCTCATGAAAATTGAAGTACTTCATCACCTTCTTTTTATAAGGTAGTAATATTTTTACATATACCTAAACCAATATAGTTTATGCCAAGCTGCCAATTCACTCAGAATGAAGCTGAAAAAGGTACCATCTTGAGCAAAACAAGCCTACCTTCTTTGTAGAGATTAACTCGGCTTCTAATGCATCCACACGGCGGACGGCTGCATTCAGCAATTCCTCCTTTTCAAATGGCATCTCGGATGGCTTCGTTTCGAGCGCCTGCACCTTCTCCTCCAACTCGCCTAGTCGTCTTACCATAGATGAGAGGACATCCTTTTCAGTATAAGACGGAGCAGGAGACGGTGGCCGGAATTCTTCCTTGTACTCTGCTTCTTGAGGATACTCCACATAGGAGTGATCATGGTCAGTGGATTGGCTTGAGAATCTTTTAGCCATCCTGCTTGGGACAGAGCGAACCATAGCAAAAAGGCTCACGATCAAGACAGTCAGCCATGTGATAACTTGTGTCCAGAGGCCATCAAATGTGATAGGCAAACTTCTCGAGGGTGATGAACCTGGCGTGAATCATGTGAAAGTTCAGGTTCAGGTTCAGCAAAAAGAAAAGTTCAGCGAATAATTATTCAACAGTTTAGCGAATATTTCTCAATCGGTTCATTCAGTATAACAATAAAAATGGTCAACAACGATTTGAGTATTAATTTCAACTTTGAACGAGATTATGGATAAGAGAAACAACCAAATTAAGAATGTAAAAGAGCTGAGGAAGAAATTGCCATACTAGCTCTAGGACTGCCCCATCCATCATCCACAACCTTGTCAACAACAGGAATGCTTTCTTCAATAATGGAAGGGGAAGCAGATGTAAATCCATGTGCTGCCAATTTTGACTGAAATAGCAAAATGAGATTACCTATTAGCAATAGCTACATAGTCAGAAATGCTGCATCATTACAAGAATGCTGCAGTAACCCAAAGATCCTTCCATGGTTCCTTGGATTAAGGATAGCCTACTTACAGAAGCTTGTATAACAATGTAATGGTGTAATGTAATGAAATATAAAAATCCACATGTTATTCACAAAAAAAATGTTTCAATTTGATGGTCAATGATTTTTTAGTCCATGTGGTGCTATTATTCAATTTTTAGTCAGTGTAGATTATGCAGTTATGCTGACAAATATCATATTTGCACTTCTCCTATTTTATAAGGTAAACTGCAATATGATCACAGTGATACAGCATGGCAACTTGCCTCCTCATGAACAGGGGTCAAAAGGGGATTTGTTATCAGGTTCCTTGATGCCATAGGTGACGCGCCATCTTCCACTTCAGACCCAGACTCCGCTGAGCCATCACTTCCTTTTCTCTGCATTGGCATGACAACATAACAATAAATTTCAATAGAATAGTTTGAACACAATGCTCCTAAAAATCTCCACATTAACCATGCTTGTAGACTTACTGTTGGGTATTGTGGCCCAGCATAACGAATTATTTTTCCATCAGTGCTTGATATGGTCACAATTTGCCTCCCATAATTTGCTTCGCCATTCAGGACCCTCTGGACAAGCCAAATTCAAAATCCATCATGTTAGATATATCAACACCAACGCAAAGATAGTGTGCATGTAATAATACACCAGCAAGCATCTATTATTTTTCTCCCTCTTTCTATTTTCCTTTCAGTAAGCGGTGGACTGGTGATTTGGTTTCAAGATATAACCTTTATTATGTTAGGATCCTTCCAAGGACCTTTATCTGATTTTTTGCAACCTCCAAATGCCTCGCACTTGCATTTTCCACCAAAAAACTCTGGCAATTCACTGAATACATGGAGCGGACAGAAATTAGGATGGAGGATGGCATGAACATGAAACATATATGGACAAGATTGTAGATACTGACTTCTCATCAATTATTTCAAGTAACTTATTTTGGTACTTGCTTCCTAGAACCTTCAAGAGAAAAAAAAAATAGAACATGAAAGTCGTTAACTACTAACTATATAACGGTCAAAAATCTTGATTAAGTATATAACAGATTACTCAATAATCCTACAATAAAAAAAATATATAATTGACTTACATGAATCTTTGAAGCAGTTTTAGGATCTAGGAAAGATTTTACAGTGCTCCATAACATCTTGAAGCCTTGGCCGGCATTAATAATATACATGCGGCGCAACGTCTGTGAGAGGTTTCAGGATGCATTAGGCAATTCAGTGTTGGGACAACAAGCAAAAGGCATGCACTATGCCACTACTTTGGAAAATAAGGTACATGGGGGAATCACCTACCTCTGGGTAGTTGTCATTGTCGATCTTCTGCAGTCGTGTGATTAGATCCCTTGCAGCTTTTGAGAAGTTCTTTAAACCCTTGATATTCATATAATACAAGTCAATCACAGAGTCATAACTATGTGCTCAGTGTTAAGAGAAACATTTGGTTATGAATACACATACCACGCCTTGCACGTCCAGAATAGTAGTAGATGAATCTATGGGCCTTTTTGCAGCAATCGAGCAGGCAGGAAATCTCATTTGGAAGCATCTCTCAAACTCCTTCACATGATATTTCACATATCGCTCTATAGTAGTTACTTGCATTAGCTTATTCGCATCAACTTTTCCTATTAACTCTATGTAGATAGGCCTTCCTTCTTTATCCACTCCATGGTAAAATTGTGGATAATATTTCATAACCTCATCCGCCTCGGTGTAGTCAAACTCCTGAGAGAAAGGATAAACAAGTGTCATGATAGAATGGCATATTTATATTAGATATGTTTCTTCAACGCAACCTTTTACCTCTATATTGTCAGCCCCAAATTCCTTTCTCCATTTAAGCATATCTGACCACATACTCTTTGCTTTCTCAACATCAAATTTCCGTGCTTTGAGGAACCTATATGTGAAGGAGATAAAATGAAAATTTCACACGACCAGCCAATCATTTTCTTCAGGGTAGCCTCTTAATGATTTGCTGCTCCAAAGATTGCCACTCTAGATTTTTTCCACTCGATATCTAGCTAGCATGGGGGCCTTAGGACCCACAAGACAGACATCAAGTTGCAAATCTAGAATTCACCTCAATGAAATGGCATATCCTGGATTTCCCAACTATAGGTGATTTATAGTGAAGCCACATTTCCGGGAAGGAGGCAAAACAGATACACACAGCCTAAGGCCAAAAGTAAAATATGAGAGAAGCCAAGCTTGTACCTAAGCATTGTGTGATAATCATCATGCTGTTGCGGCAACAGGTCCTCATCAACTAAACATTGTCGAAATGCATCAACAGCTTGAAGATCTTGAACATCCCTTATGTCCTCAATGGAACCCCGAGGTTCATTTTTCTTTTTGCTTCTTCTCCTCAGGGAATGCCTGAATTTGTTCCCGGCATTAATCGCCTTTTTCTTGAAAGAACCAATTTTAGTCTTCTTCTCTCCTTCGGAGTTGTCTGCGTCAGATCTGATCTCTTTCTTTTCATCATTATGCGTAAAACCTTCAAAACCTGCACCAGCAATAGCATCTCATGTTATGACGGTATGAACTTTTTTTCTTACCGGCAACTGATAGGTGGCTTAGCCGCTTAGGGAGAATGACAAATAATAGAGCTTTACAGGGAACTAAACCTAGAACGTAAAATTAACTTAGTTTCAGAACCAACAGTAATGTGAGTATAGGTGTTCATTTGAAGATTAAGAAGATAAACTTTATAAAAAGAGGACCCATTTGATCAATTAATCCAGTGCCTTTGTGCAAGGCAATACCAACAGCACATGAATTATTAAATGGAATTTAATGCTTTATACATGTGACATCAACATCAAAATGTGCTGATTCTTTGTGTTGGTTTGTAGCTTTCCTTTTTGTGGTTATTCTTGAATGCATAATTAGCTTGAAGCATCAGCTTCCCCGTAATTTTTTTTTTTTTGAAAAAACTTGAAGCATAAGCTATTATGCCCTCTAGTGAGACCAACAAAAGGAAAAAAAAATCGAAGATGAGCAAGAAACTTAAAAAACGGAGAGTGAATGGACTTCTGCATGATTTTTTTTTTACAAACATTCGATTTTGATAGGTAACCGTTGGTGTTAACTGAATGGGGAAATCCCCAAATCCTATAAACAGTGCAATCGCATACTCTCACGAACTCTTTTGCCATATCCTCCATTAAGAATTGATCCAAGAATTCAAATATGAATATATTTGAATCGTACAATACCACATACACAGGTAATCACAAGATAACCCACTAATTTAAGCCCAATAAATCGATTCATCCTGGTCTTAAATGCAAAGAAATACTCTATTTCCTAGTAATTCGTACTCACATGGCCTGGCAAATCGATCGAGTGGTCCTGACATCCCCTCCTCCGATTCCAAAATCAATCGCCCGAGCAAAAGCTCCAACCTAAAAATCCACAAGAACTATCATGCCAAGAAAGGGAAAAAGGAACTAATCCATCATCTCCGAACGATAAAATTGCATGGCAAAATACTTTTTTAAAATTGTTTTTTTCCTCAACGAAGATATTTGGGAAACCGATAAGTATTCAAACAAACTATTTGGATAATATCTCGAATTTCATTTACCTCGGATTTTGGGCGATGATTTTGGACCAAAAAGAGAGGGAAGCTCCTGCTGCTGCCGCTATGGGCTTTAATGGTGGGAAGCTCTCGCGAGGGAGACGAGACGAGACGAAAAGGATTCTATCACTCTCGGTGCATGGACCCGGTCCATAGACTCGAAGCGGTTGACCTGTGCCGCGCGCACGTGCTGGGTTCATGGACCCGGTGCACGGGTCCATCGATAGCCGCCCCTGGGTACGATTGCCTGGGCCCACCTTGCGTGCGTTACCAGCCGTCGATTCGAGCGATTATAGTAGCTTTTATGGGAGAAACGGACGGCTGTGATGGGTTCTGGTTCATGGACCGTGTCCAGGGAGATGTGTTGGTTTATGTGACGCGTGGAGGGGTTTGGCTGGCCAGGTCAGACTTTGGTTGGTTAGAGGAGTTGGGCAACTCCTCCTCCACTCCTTTTTTATGCTAAGACAAAAATTGATGGATCAACAAGATTATTAGTTGGAGGAAATGTCTAAGCACAACTGATTGGATAAAATAACTTTATTTTATTATTGTTTGGTACTCATGGTTTAAAGCTGCTTAAATGCTTAGAGATGTACTTGCTCAGAGATGTTCAATCTTCAACACACTTACGATTTCTTTCTAAGAATGTTGAAGGGATGTCTTTTCGTCTAAATTTTTTAGCTTAAATGTTTAAAATTATAAAAATGTGAACTAAGGCTACGTTGTTACCAGGAGTTACCAACTCCCCCTTTCTTTTTCCGCGCGCACGTTTTTCAAACTATTAAACAGTGTATCTTTTGCAAAAAAAATTTCTATACAAAAGTTGTTTAAAAAAATTATATTGATCTATTTTTAACAAATAGCTAATACTTAATTAATCACATGCTAATGAACAGCTCCGTTTTCCGTGCGCAGCAGCTGTGTTGGGAATGTGGAGTAATGAGCGCAGCCTAATTCTGCTGGATATATATAGTACTAGTTTACCCTAATTTAGTGGCCCTCCTCCTCATGAACAAAACAAAGTGTGTTTGATTGACTATGTTAGTCACCTAGGATAGATACTTGGTTGGCAGTTTGTTCATAGATTGTTTCACCCTGGTAATTTTGTCATGCATCAAACCAGGCACAACAGTCTTGAACCCTAAATGGACACAAGCTGGACCATTCCATTAAATTTTACCAGCTAAAACCCCTGTTATAATACCAGGAGCTAATTCTTGTTGAGCTGAACACTACTTAATTAGCACTGTAAATGCTACTCAACCAGAAGGTACACTAATTAGTAGCCTCTGATTCTTCTATCCAGAAAAGAACAAGAAGCTAGGGTCCAAGAATCTATTCAAGCACTCACAGGGTCTCACACTATCCTTGAAAAAATAAATTTATGTTTGCAACTTTTGCATCAATTAACACAGTGACAAAACAAAATGGGCAGGCAGGCCAATGAAGTGGGCATCATCATCAAGGACACTTTTTGTCCGTGTCTATCCCTTGATTTGTTGTTACATTGATATACTTTGTCTATGTTTATTAGCTTATGCTTAGTTGTTACACTGATTGCAATCATATCCGTGAACTGCGGTTAAGCTTTTTGGATTTCATCACAAGGGGAACAGGGTCGTTAGGCCAAAAAAAAAAAATTAAAGCGAGTCTCTGGTGTTAGATGATCAAAAAGTCCAAAGCACACGAGTATAGAAAGAAACATATGCTTTATTAGATAGGAGAGTGTTTCGTGAGTTCAATGACCAAGCAAGACATATATATGCCTTGTGATATATCACCTAATCTGGCAGACTTATGTATGTGTTTAAAAACTTTAGAATAATAATAATATAAAACGTGGAAAAGGGGTGGAAACATAGGGAAATATTAGATAATGAAATATCAAACTCTCATATAAAATATCTTGAGTAGTCTCATTGTTTTTTTCCTAATGATGGAGACATAAACGACAAAACTAATGTTCCAATCTTCTTCAATGTGATGTACATATGGCAATTTTATTTGCTCTATCACATCCAACCAGTCAACCTGTTTGATCCACGCAATGGTACAATAATGGAGGAAATATGCTACAATGACAAGTCATCTCTTGATAGCATAATAGAATATATTCACACGTCTGTCATTAACCAGCCAAATCCATTGCTAATTGTCATTAACAAAGTGACACATAATTATATAAACACGATGGATTCCACACTATCATTTTCAAATGTAAAAGAATAATCCGCTGTCTGTCTTATGGCCCATTGCAAATACACAAGCAAGAAGACCAGGAATTTTTCAATGATGGGTAGGCAATACTCACCGACTCACACCTGCATTTGTTCGCCATAAATATTTGTAGTGGGATTACATACATACTCCACTTCGAAAATGGAACTAGTATAAGAAAATGGCCTCATCAGAGAACAGTATAATTTCTTATTAAACATTCTGTTTACTCTTGATTCAGTTAGGTTGTCCCTGTTCGAGCAGTTGCTGAATCTTTCTTTGCTGAAGTGCAAATGTAAATGCCTGATACTGACAGGAGTGACATGGGTACTGCTTCTGACCTTGCAATCTCAGGGATGGGAGTGGGTCAGCAAAAAAGCCCTGTAACTGAGGACAGATGACTATTCCCCTGGTTCACTTTAATCAGGTGAATGATAATTCAGACATGTGGTAGTATAGATTGATGCTTGGCAAAGCTTGCACCATGTGTTGAACTTTGCCATTGAAAATGCTACTACTATTCACCATTCAGCAACAGTCTCGTCGTTTACATGCCCCATCATGGCCTGTGCTATTTTCATTCTAAAATAAACAAACTTAGGGCCTGTTTAGATTGTAGCCAAAATAAACCAAAAATTTGGTAAGATGATAATATTGTCAAAATTTTGGCAGGATTTCTTATGCATTGACCAAATTTGACAACAAACTAAATGTAAATATTTTTTTTGACAACTTTACTAAAAAATGATATATTTGAAAATGGCATTAAAGTGAACATACACTTAATATACGACATAACATATCCTATCTCCTGTTCAAATTCGTATCTAGGATGTATTATATTTCGTATTAGATTTGTTTATTTTGAAGAAAGTGAGTATGAACATGCAACAGTCCATGGACAGATGTGCAGCGATCTTTATCTGATGATGTGAGTTCTCTGCATTCAGGCGTTGATCCCTGAATATGCATATGCATCAGAAGCTTGATCGACCACCTACAGAATTATAACCATAATAACGGAAGCAAATCAAATATGGACACATATCCTCATGCCCTATATGTCCTCGGCGGTGGCGACGAATCCGTACGCCGGATGCTGGTGGCAGGTCGCCGGCGGCGAGAATCAACGGCAGGATGCGGTGGGCCACTAGTCGCTCGGACTCCTGGGCCACGTCCACGCATCAGGCGGCCCACGCGTGGCCCTAGACTCTTCTCCCATTTTGTTAAGGACAAAGTCCACTTTGTGTCCCTCAATTATGGGGTCAGATTGGATTCGCATCCCTGTGAACTACAAAAACTGGAGTTCCGATTGTTTTCTTAATGAAAGTAAAAACTAACGTAAAACACGAGGAAGTCGAATACTAGTAGATATATAGTGAAACTAACACAAATATACGGTAGCTAGTTAACAACCGACTCGTATCGTATTCTTCATTATCTTTAATTTCATGTACTTATAATTACTTATGTCGTATATATACCCGTTTAGTCGTATATATATAGGGAAAACTATTTTAATTCCTCGAGGGAATGTTTCCTCGTTTGCTAAAAAACCATCTTAACGGTTATGAAAAATTCTAGAAAAATTTGACAACATTCATACAACATATATATACAACTCCACAAAATCTTAAATCCAAACTCAACTCACACGTCGAGATATAAAAAAGACAAATTCAGCGTATGAATAGTAATGTACTGTTTATATCTAAATTTGTCTTTTTTTTCTCGATGTGTAGATTGAATTTGAACACAAATTTTGGTGGACTAGTATGTATCATTATACTCTACATTGTCGATTTTTTTAAAGAAATTTTCATAACTATTTGCATCGAATTTGGAAGAAAAAGGTATACGAGGGGATATCCCTCGAGGGATTAGAATCCACTCCCGTATATATAGTTTTATGTGTTGAGTTACTAGTGTATTTATTTATTTATTTATTCACGAATAGCTGATCTCTCTTGTGAGGCCGGTATGCACAAGCCGTCGTCGTCGTCGTCATCACCTACAGAAAAGGATGCGGCCGTCGCCGACTTCACCTGCGGTAACCACGAGCACACGGTAAAAAAAAAACAGCGACGCTATTTCCTTTCTTCTTTTGTTCTTGTCGCGGTGGCGCGCGCCGGCCAGCAGGAGGGTTGGCGTTGGGGTGGGGGCGGTGTTTGGCTCCGACACCGGCGGCGAGGAATGCGGCGGCCGGCGTTCCGATGGGAACCGAGAGTGGAGAGGTTGAGAGGGGAAGGGGCAAACCAGCCCTAGTTCCGCGCCCCCGATGGAGAGGAGGGTGGCGTTCCGGTGGGGCGGAGAGGCGCTGTTGGCTCCGGCGGCGGCGGCGGCGTTCCGATCGGTGGGGACGACGACGATGGATTGTGGGGGTAATCCCAATCGAATTACTGGTACTAGAAAATTATTCCATCGACCGTGGTACTGGCCCTGTTCTTGCGACCCCTGCTGATATCTCAGGAGCAGCGACCGATATATCCCACAAAGATCAGGATTCAGGAAGACTGCCTTCCTCTCATCTCCACAGGTATCCAAAGCATACCTCTGTCCCCTCTTCTCTTGCCATCAGATGAACTAGGATAAGAAGAGTAGATTAATAAGAGGGATAGTGATTTGATTGGTCTAATAGGGAAAACAAAGAGTATGATTTCTTCTCCTCCTTGCAATTTACACTCCCTGCGTGATATGGTGCTTAGACCAAAAATGCATGCATCTCGCACTCAGTCATCCTAATTCAATTAATCAAGAGGTTTTCAAAAATAAATAAAGTTAATGATTTCTTTATATTTGTGGCAATGTATGTTCCTCCCGATCACAGTTGGTCTTTTTGGCTCAGAGATTTGTGCCCTGGTAATGCACTCGTGCAGAATTGGTTGGCATTGAACCATTAGTGCTCCTCTGTGTTTCTTTTCTTGAACCCTGTGTTCCAGTCACAGTACTGCATTTCTTCCTTGAGCCATGTGTCCCAGCCACAATACTCATCTTTTCTCAACACGGGACGGGAGAGAGAGAGACCTGTATGGATGGACATGACTCACCAGATACAATGGTAGAACTGTGATAAGGAGAAGTGTTTGATTTAGAGAGTTAAATCAGTAATAGTAAATTGTTTTTTGCATTGGAAAAATTAGACTGTCTTTTGCCTTATTTTGTGTCAAATGTTACCTAGAATGTTTTGCGAGTAATGATGTTGCTGGGGGCTAATTCTCCTTATCTTTCTTTTTTGCACCTCTAGAGTGAATATAGTTTTACTAAGTATGGATTATTACAACTTTTGCATTTGTTTTTATATCTAACGCTTTAAACTTTTGTTTAAATCAGGCAATCTGAGAGCTGGGCAACACATGGATCAGACAAAGAAAAGGAAGATGAAGAAGTGGTGCAGGCTAAAAATGAAGAAGTGGATTCCTTCATCGCTGCAGCAGAAAAAACAGGTCCACCACAGCAGAATATCGACTGCACAGCAGCTGCACGACGTCAGGCTAATAACTATGCAAAAGTTGCTTTGGAGCACTACAACAAGGATGAAAACAACAAGGTAAAGTTCTGCTAATGCTTTTTTTAAGTTCTGCAATACGCATTATATAATCCCTATACTGGTTTTAGATGGTGTATACATGCTTTTCATTTAACTTTATACTGAAATGTCTTAATTGTTTCATCAACTATTTTATTTATTTATATCTTTTTTTTGTCTGCAATGTATTAGATTCAATACAGGTTCATCAAGGCCCTGAAAAGTTGCGCTATCCAAACCAACGAATCCTATGGGCATGTGAACTTTGTAGCATCTTCATCAGATTCAAAAGAAGAGTTCTTTTTTGCTGAAGTTTGTTATGATCCCAAGAGCAATGGATTGGTACCAACATGCATGGTATCTTTGGAAGAAAACAACAGAATTGGTTAGTCCTGCAACATTGCCACTAGCTAGTTTTAGCCGTTCTTTTACCGAAGTATTTCTTTTTTCAATCCTAATTACCTATGTCATTACAACAGGAGGACTTCTTGGTGTTGGATTTGTAGGGTGCCCAGATCTTCTGAATCCTCCTGTCGACAACGATCACTGCTATGCTTGTGACGATAGGCTTAAGCACCCAAAAGATGGAACTCTGTTTAAGGGTGGGCATGTAGCCGCCACGGGTTTCTATACGTCCTACTGAGTTTGTAACAGACAAAAAAAAACTTAGTTATCTATCCTGTGCTATATTTTCTAGTTGTCAATTGACTTTTTGTTTATCTCTATTTAAGCACACTTTTAGCAAACATCACCAATCAAACTGTACAATCTCAATTGCACTATCATATTTTAAGTTGTAGCTATCTCAAGAGAGCTTAAGATTTTTTTTCAGTGGTTAACATTTTCATATAGGTAAGGGAAAAAAAGGCTAGGGAAAGTAGCGAACGAAGCAGCTGCTGGACGTCTTTAAGCTTTTTTACATAAAAATTGTTATTGACATTAATTACTTAAATAACTCTGAATAGGCACTGGAATTAATTGGAATTAATTTGATAGCAGCTGTGACATTGAAGAAGTTGATTGGGGAATTTTTTTTAGAAAAATAATTATTTTAGTGAAAAATACAAAAATAAAAGCTGATCGGCTAAATTGCAAGTTTAATACTCTGTCGAACAACCACAGTTCAACAGATACTTGTCGAACTAGAGCATAGCAGGGGGCCTATGGAACAATGTTTGATAGCATGCAGAGTTCGATAGGTCCTTCATGCACAGTGCTGCACAATAGTGTACAGTGTGCATAGTGATTGTTCTCTTTTTTTTATTATGTTTTATCCCATATCGAACAACCACAGTTCGACAGGGTATCGACAGGGGATAAAAAATACCATGTCAAACTACAGTTGTTCGATATGTACCCTGTTGAATTTTGGCTGTTATATGGTTATATGGTGTACTAAACTTGCAATTTTAGTCTATCAACCTCTATTTTTACAATTCTCTATTAAAATAATATTATTTTTAAAAAATTCGTTGATTGGGTGGATTTTGCAATCCCTAAGGGTGCTGTGCGTGGCCCTTTCCTTTCCTTTGTCCATTTGCAGCTTTGTCTCTTTGCTATTCCCTCCGTCCCAAAAAAAAAAAGACAAATCCTGGTTTCCATGCCCAATGTTTGACCGTCCGTCTTGTTTGAAAAAATTATGAAAAAAAATAAAAAGACAAGTCACGCATAAAATATTAATCATGTTTTATCATCTAACAACAATGAAAATACGAATTATAAAAAAATTTCATATAAGACAGACAGTTAAAATTGGACACGGAAACCAGGGTTTGCCTTTTTTTTTTTGGGACGGAGGGAGTACCTCCTACTCTCCTATTAACACCTCTATTCAAGACAATGCGTTTGATTGATGCAGTCCATATTTTTCAAAGCGATAGGTAAATACTAATTATTTATATGTAGTACCAAGGGGTGAGTGGTGACAAGAAAGAGTTAAAATTTCAGAAGAGAATAAATGCTAATCTTAACTATATTTGGTTGGTGTAACGCCCCGATTTCTGCGTGGCGTTAAAAGCTAATTTACAAAAAACCCTAATTGCGAAAATTTTGATTCCTTGAGTGCTGAGTCTAAGTTGTGCCAAAGATCTCAATTTGAATCCCTCCTTTAGTCCATCTTCCTGCTATCAAAAATCGTCTCCTTAAATTTCCATCCCAATGTAATCTCGAAGCTCGATTCCTTCTATTCAGAATTCCCTCCTAAAACCCCATCCGTGAACTTCGTCGAATGCTCAAACCCTAACTCAGTCCAATGATTCACCTCTGCATCCTAAACTCTCCCTTGGGTTCCTTCAAAAAACAATTCTCAAATTCGAATTCAACCTCGATTCATCTACCTCCTCCTCCTTATATGTCTGTCTACCTACCCTAAGTTTCTTTCCGATTAATCAATCTCAACTCCTATATTTATAATATCTCCCTACCTATCGCTCAATCACCCTTTGAAATCATCTCCGAGTATTTGTTCCAAATCCCAAGGTATAGATCTATCCTCGGGATAATACCCGTTCCAAATAATCTCGTATGAACCTTTCTATTCATATTTCTCTTCAAAATCCTTACCTGCATATCTCGTCGAGTAGTCAAACTCAAACTCCCAAGTTACACTCTCTTCCTCTAAATTATCCATCTCCCTTTAACTCGTCTCCGAATATTGTTTCCTTCCTTTGACTCCTCCCTATTCTCCCGAGTCCGAGTATCAACTTCGACATTAAAACCTAGACTCCAACTCTAAACCTCTCCAATTAAACCTCTCTGTGAAAGTCTAATTTACCCGCCCATGGTGGTGGATTCCCTTCTTTCATTTCCTCCCAGGTCCACCTCTTCCTGCTCTTCCGGCCCATATCTCTCTCCCTCTAAAGTCTAGACCTATCAAATCTACCTATTTATTTCGTCCCTCTCTCTACATTGATCTACCTAGCGATCTATCTATCTATCTATCTATCTATCTATCTATCGATCGATCCTTTTATCTATCTACTATACCTACCTATATGTTTATCTATCCATCCGTCAATCCATCTGTCTATCCGTCCCTCTACCTATCGACCTATCTCTCTGTCCACCTATCTATCAATCTAGCTTATCCATCGATCTGCCCGTCTGCATATCTATCGTTGAACTCTTTCCCAAACAATTGTCCCAACTCCAAGAATACGAGGTTCCTTTTGAATCCCTCTAAAATAACTCTTGAGCCGCCTAATACAGATATATTCCAGAAATATATAATTCCCGCCTTTGAAGCCTTTCCTCGACCCCTCCATATTTTTCCGAGTTCAAAACATCCGATTTGAATTCAAATCCCAACTCAAATTCTCAAAATACTCCTTAAAGAAATTTCCTGGAGAAAGTCTACTCGCCCCCCTTGCGGTTTTGGGCTGATTTCTCCCTCCCCAGCCCAACACTCCCTTCGGCTCACACCCTCCACGTGCGCCGCACGTGATACGCACCGAGGACACCGCCCCCTTTCTTCTCTCTCGCGCACGCGTGCCTCCCCGTCTCGCTCTCCGCTCGCCGCTTTTGATTTCCGCCGCCCGTCGGCGATTTGAATTTCGTCACCGCCATTGCCGCTCCCGCGCGCGGCGCCGCTCATGGCCGACCGCTGTGGCCGCGCCACCGTCACCCCTGCCGCGTCGACCGCCTTGGTCCGCGCTCGCCGCCAAACCAGCCCTCCTCCCTTTTCGCTGTCATCCGCTGCGTCACCATGGCCCCGCCTCCGCATGCCACAAGCCGCCAACGCGGCGACGCCAATCCCACGCGCCTCCCCAGCCTCGCCGCCCAAAAACGGAAGGAGCAAGGCTCCCTTTCCTCCTCCTCCTTTCGCTTTTTCCCTTGCGGGCAAGGCCGCCTCGCTCTCTCCCTTGTCCTGGTGCGGGAGCGGACACAGGGTGCCGCTGACGCCGCCTTTGCGCCCTGTCGCGCCCACGCCACCACCGCGACCATGCCAGCTCGCCGCCCCCACCTTGACCGCGCTAGCCCGCGCTCGCGGTCCGATTCCCACCGCACGATCCACCGCCTTCGCTGCCCAATGCATCCACGCCGTCGCCGCTTTCGCACCGCCCACGAAACCGCCGCTGTCGCCAGCCGAGCGCCTCTTCGCCTATAAAATCCCAACCCCATGCCCACAATCCTTTCCCCCTTCACCCCGTGCTCCTTGGAACGGAGTACTGCCGCCTCCTCCCTCGACCCCGGTCGCCGTCGCGCGGCCAACCCAGAGCACCGCCGCCTCCTTCGTCGTCACGGCCAAGAACGCCACCGCCGCGACCAAGGACGCCGTTCCCGCACGCCTCCGTCCCCTTCCCCGGCGCGCCCGCGGCGGCACCATGCCACCTCGGCGTCGTGTTCGTCGCCGTGCGCCGCTGCTCGTCCATGCGCCGCCATCGGCCTTCCTCCCCTTCCCATCACCGAAGTCCGGCGACGCCGTTCCCCGCTCGACGGTGAGCTCCTCGGCTCCTCCCTCCCCTTGGCACCCCCTTTCCTTTTCCGCATCGTGTAGCTCTCGCCACCGCCGCTTGGCGCTGCTCGCGCGAGCAGCCGCGGCGAGCTTCGTCGATGCCGCACCCGGCTGTGCGCCGCCGTCGGTCTCCCTCTCTTCGAACCCGCTCGCCATCACCTTCCTCGGGGCCCCCTCGACCTCCCCAATCCATTCCCCTGGCCGCCGACCTCCCCTTTTGCTCTCGCGCCGTGCCGCCCGACTGGCAGCCGCAGCGCATGGATGTGCGCCGCCGTCGGCCATCCCCTCGCCGTATCCTCTCGCCTCCGCCCTCCTGGAGCCCCCTTGGCCCTTCCCAGACCGCCGGCCTCCCCAATCGCTCCCGCGCCGTGCCGCCCCTTCCGCCGCCGCATAGCGCCGCCGCGCGCGCGTCGCCGGCGACCATTGGGTTCTGCGCCACGGCGTGTGCGTCGCAATACCTTTCCACGTCAGCCGAGCCCGAGCCCGCGCGCCCTTCGCTTTCCTCGCGCGCGACCACGTCGGACATCCGGCGAGCTTCGCCTCCGCCGCCGGCCGCCGTCGTACCTCCTCTCTCAAATCCAAACCGTTGAATTCATTCCCCTTGTCCTCCTCTCGCCGCCAGTGCTAGCCACTTCCTCTGGCTCGCCGCCGTTCGCCGGAGCGCGCCGAGCGTCGCCGGCCATCCGATGAGGTTCCGGCCCCCCCTCTCTCCCCATCCGACGTGGCTGCCCACGTGGGCGTTGACCGGGCCCGCCCCTGCCCAGTCAGCCGTCTCCCCCTCTCTCCTCCCCGCTCTTGGTCCAGGCCCATCGGCCAACCCCCCTCCTCGGCCAAAAGGAACAAAGTCCACTCTTACTCCCTCCGTCCGAGCCCAGTGAACACACTCTTGAATCAAAGTTCATATTTCGTCCCTCCACCAAATCAGCTCCCTTACACAAAAGTCCACCTATCTCCCTTGTTGGCTCCACACGTCAATGAGTGACTAAACAGAATATTCTCGGGAATATTCTTTTCCATAAGTTCAAAAAAATCATTTCCCCTTGCTCCATAAATCATTTCCTATATTCCAAATTCCATAAATCCTTTCTCTTAATCCCAGGATTTCAATAATTCATTCCCTTGGTCCCGCATGTCAAGTGATTGTCAATAATATTCTTGAGAATATTATTTCTATAAATTTCATAAATCAATTTCCCTTGTTCCACAAATATTTCCCTTAATTCAAATAAACTTCCAAAATTCATATCTCGCGATCCGTAACTCCGTTTGACTCCGTTCCACTTCCAATAATTCCGTAAAATTGTGATCTATCTAATGGCACTATTAATTAGCCTAAATAGGATCTTTTATTTGGTCTTTTGTTTAGGTTTTCATTGTTTGTGCCTAGTTGCGGTTGCGGATTTTCGTCGATCAGGGATTTCTCGAAGATTCGTGAAGATCAAGACCCTGAGCAAGGCAAGCCACCTTTGAACATCTTGAGCCTATAATTGAACTTAATTATATTACTTGCAAAATATTATGCATTGATAGGATTGCACATAATATGTTTGCCCCGTCTGCGAGGCATATTAGTGGGCATACCTAACTTGTTGCATTTGATCCTTCCGTTGTTAAATTGTTATGTCATGTTTCCTTGTAACCACCTGGTCGCGCCTCAGTATTCTTGCACTCGGTGCGAGTATCGACGGTCGCCGTCAAACTTAAAATATGGTAAACATCTTGGGTAAAACTTGGTTTACAAAACGATTGGAAAACCAGACGCCTGGGTCGGTGCCTTGTGAAAGAAAATGAGCTTTAAAAATAAAACTCGTGACACAAGGCCATTCCTAGGCGGGATGCTTGTGCGGTCGCATTTAAGGACCGATTCCTTCGGAATTATATCCAAGCATATGATAGTGCAACCACATGGGTGGAATGGGACACCCCTGGCTGAGTAATTAGCTAATCAGGGGAGCCTTGATGCTGAGAGACAAGTGGATTCGCCGGGGTGGTGTCGGGGAGGACCCCTGGGCTTCCTGGCACAGTATGGTCTGGGACCTAACCTGTTGTTGGTCTGGGACCCCTCTCGTCAGCATATGGTAAACCTGTGTCGGCTTTGGAAATGCCTTGTCATGAAAGCTTGGAGGTCTCCCGACGTGGCTGATCCCCACGAGCTGGGTGATCCGGGTTAGTAATGTCGTGTGGGTAAAGTGTACCCCCTCTGCAGAGGTTAACAAACTGTTCGAACAGCCGTGCCCACGGTCATGAGCGGATGTGAGGTGATTCCTTAGCGTAGTTTTCATTTTTACCCTGTTTTATGAAAAAGTGATGAGGTTTGGGAAACCCGATATTTGGAAGGCAAGTGGCTGTCAGGGAGACAGCGGAACAGGGAGTCCCTAAAAGTGACTGGTTGTTTGGAGACAACCAAAACTCTGAAAGTCTGGAAAAATTGGTTTGGTTTGGGAAACCAGCTTTGAGGCCAACTCTGGGAGTTGTGCAAATCTTGATAAAATAATATTGTTCACTCCTCACCCCCGGCCGAGCTGAGACTTGTCTCGCTCTGGTCGCGGAATGCACACACTTAGATTGTCAAAATGCTTGCAAATAAAACTGATTGAAAAATAACAGCCTTCCCTTGAAGCTTGCATTAACCACCTAAGTTCCCTTGGCTTGCTGAGTACGTAAGTACTCACCCTTGCTCTCTATATATACATAGTTCTGCCAGCTCTGAAGATGAAGTTGAAGCAAAGATTAGGGTTTCGTCCTAGTTCCCAGCCTTCGCCTGTGGTGTTGGGTGTTAGACCGTTGGTTCCGCTGCTGCTGCTGTTGTTGTTGGTGTTTCCTCGTCCGCGTCGTCGGTTGCATTCTCTGGCTGTTCTGAGCTGCAACCTAAGTTAAGATAAATAAGTACTCTATTTAATTTAAGGATTGCAATGATTCATATTTGTCACTGTTGGTACCAGCGCTATGTCCTGGGACTGGTACTGAGATCGCGGTTTCGTAGGAAGCGGTTCACGCCGTTTTTCTTACGACACGCTGCTGTCAGGCGCCGTTGTACGACGGTACCGGATTGGGGTGTGACAGTTGGCATGGCTCGTAACTCTTGAAGATTTCATTAGCTTTCGTCTACATTTTTTTTGTTCTGAACAGGCACTATCATATGGTGCATCATGAGCCGAAACTCCATCAACAGTTCTCTGCAACTGTTTTTTTTTTTGAACTGGCAACTGTTTGATTTACTACAATAGTGAAGCGTTTGATGACATAGCCGCAGTAACAAATAATGTTTCTATCCAGTTTACTGAACACATGACATTAACATCACAATTCATACAACAAAAATAAACAATAGTACTCCAACCTCAGTTCTGGCCATCTGTTCCTACTTCCTATCCGCAGCACGTCCACATAACAGAATTGGCCCAACATAGGACGGAGATGGCAATGGGGACCTCTAACCCGTGACTCGACGGGTTTTTACTCTATTAGAAGCTAATTGTGTTCTAACTCTTATACCCATGGGTCTACTAATGGGCAAAACTCTTACCCATTGGGTACGCGGGTATGGATCTATTCTTTACCCACCCATACCCACCAACCCGTGAGTGAAAAAACCCGTTGATTGAGCCTAAAACTATAAGCAATATAAGTCTCAACGACTACTAAATCAGTATGAAACTCCTTTCACATCTTAAGCATTGTTACATTCTAGTTATATGAAATTATTATTCGATTTCTTGATTATGTAATGTGGTTGTATAATTTTTTTACTTGCCTTTAAACGCTAATGTTAATAGATTGTTGCTAGAGAAAATATTGATGGTTTACAACTCTAATATGGCTAATTATAGTACAAAACTATAAATGCTACAAGTTAACTATATGGGTATGGGTACCCGTTGGATACCCGTTACCCGCACGGGTGTGGGTATGGGGCAAGGGAACCCGATTGGTATGCACTCGTTGCCATCGATGGGCTCGAGGCGGAGCGAGAGAGCGACCCATCTTCAAGGTCAATGGAGAAGCGCGAAAGCGAGTAGCAGCGGGAGTTGTAACAATCGGTGTGGATGAATTAGGCCCTGTTTAGTTCCCAAAAACTTTTTCTCAAAAACATCAAATCGAATCTTTGGATATATGCATGGAGTATTAAATATAGATAAATTTAAAAACTAATTATACAGTTAGGGGGGAAATCGCGAGATGAATCTTTCGAGCCTAATTAGTCATTAGCCATAAGTGTTACAGTAACCCACATGTGCTAATGATAGATTAATTAGGCTCAAAAGATTTGTCTCGTGGTTTTCAGGCGAGTTATCAAATTAGTTTTTTCATTTCGTATCCGAAAACCCCTTCCAACATCCGGTCAAACATCCGATGTGACACCCAAAAATTTCCTTTTCGCGAACTAACTAGGCCCTTAATATAACATGGATTGAATTATATTTGCTGAAAATATTATTATTCGATTGATATTTGAATTTACATTCAAATGGATATTAGGGTGATCATATTTAAGGGAAACACTCATGTTTGTAGATTATAAAATATACCCAAATTTTACTTCTACTACAAAAATTTACTACTACTACTAGTCAACTTGCATGCAACATTAAAGAAACTGGACTTGGACGAGAGTCAGTCAATAATATATCTAGCTAACTGAATCAGACTGATCGCATAATAAAGCCACTAGCAAGGCTATGTTTAGATTTTAACTTTTTTTTCTTCAAACTTTCAACTTTTCCACCACATCAAATATTTAGACATATGCATGGAGCATTAAATGTAGAAGAAAAAAAACCAAATGTACAGTTTGCATGTAAATTGCGAGACGAATCTTTTGAGTCTAATTACGTCATGATTAATCATAAGTGCTACAGTAACCCATATTTGCTAATAACAGATTAATTAGGTTCAAAAGATTCGTCTCGTAGTTTACGGTCCAAATCTATAATTTATTTTGCTATTAGTCTACGTTTAATACTTTAAATGTGTGTCCGTATACGTTAAAAAAATTTTTAGCTCTGAACTAAACACGGCCTAACACGACAACCTATGTGAATCCCATTAAGATGGATCATGGATGCAAGAAGACTTCGCCGAGTCATAAAGAATACCCTATCCGTTTCCATATTAATTGACGTTTTAGATAAGGTTGAGGTTAAACTTTTATAACTTTAACCATCAATAACTTTAAAAATATTTAGTTTAAAGGAACTAGAACAACATGCATTTATTTATTATATATATATTATAATAAAAAAAAAGATCACAGATGCATCTTGTATACCGTGTCATTGTCCAAAACGTCAATTAAAATGGAACCGGAGGGAATATGGTCATTGTATCTAGTGCGCATACCACTTGTTTGTCTTTTTCTTTTTTTTTTTTGAAAGAAATTAAAGGCAAGAAGATACCACTTGTTAGTCATAATGAGGACCTCTACTTGATTGATAATGAGGACTTCACTGCGTCATAAACAATGATAATCAATGTACGTATGAATCTGATTTAGTCCCTTCGATTGCATAGAGGAATTCACCACATGCACAAATCAAATTAAATCAATGCATACGGTTTAAAGAAACACTGCCACAAAATGAAATCAATATAGGAAATACTTTTAAGACTGCGGTGTAGCGTAGATGGCATGGTGCAGCACTGCAGCCATACGTTGTGCTCTTCGCGACCTGCGTTCAAATCTGGCTGAACGTACTCACCCTCTTTCTTAATAAATTCAACATTGGGTCTTTTCCAGTATAATTTTTTTTTGTTATTTTACGCACAGAAAATAAAAACAAAAAGAAGCGGGCACACGCATTTGTACTTTGTAGAGCATTTGGTTAGCACACTGACACTCCTGTTTGCTCTCCTCTAGCTACTTCCTCAATGCCTTACTCAACGGAAAGGACAACTCAATTATCTTAGCTAAGTCATGGGTGGTATCTGTGCACAGATGTAGCTGTGCAGTAGCAATAGCCAGTGCAAGGATCTGAGACCTTGGGTCCCTTTGCTTGTACTAATAATGAAGAGGACTTCACTTGGTCATAAAAAATGATGGGCGAGGACAGCCTCAACCTGTAAATCATACTATATACTCCAACCTGTATATCACCTACAGAGGGTGAAGCGAGTCAGTGTGAGCAAGCAGAGAAGAGTTTTCTAAAGGAAGGAGATGGGATCTTCAAGTGTTGTGCTATGGTGGGAAGAGTGGCAGCTCCGTATCCTCGTCCTCGGCAGCCTCTTCCTGCAGTGCTTCCTTGCATTTGCTGCAGTTCACCGTAGGCGCTCCATCCCAGCATCCTTGAGATTCTTTATTTGGTTAGCTTACCTTGGAAGCGATGCTCTAGCGATATACGCTCTCGCCACACTATTCAACCGGCACAAGACCGATAATCAAGGCGGCAGCCATGTCCTCGCCACCCTGGTCAGCCCTCAGGGGAAGGGCGGTGGCGATGACACTGGCCTTGAAGTCTTCTGGGCTCCTGTCCTACTTCTCCACCTCGCTGGCCCGGACTCCATCACTTCCTACAACATCGAGGACAATGAGCTATGGAGGAGGCATGTCCTGACTGTGATTTCCCAGGTGACAGTATCCCTCTATGTGTTTTGCAAGTCTTGGTCGGGTGAGAACAAGCTTCTTAGAGCAGCTGTTCTGTTGTTCATTGCTGGAACCCTCAAATGCATTGATAAGCCAATGGCTCTCAAGAGCGCTAGCATATATGGCCTAGTAACCTCATCTCCTTTCCATGACCAAAAGTCACAAAATAATGACCAAGGCGAGAATAGATCACTTGAAGCCTACATACAAGAAGCCAAGGGTTATTTTTCCAACCTAAAGATCAATGATGTTTATACTGAGTTGGTAGCAGCTGCCCAAAACAAAGACCTACGGGTTATGCCGTTTTGGTTATTCGTAGACCTCGCATCTACCTTGTGTCATCGTCTTAGAGTCTTGCGTTTCTTCTTGGTTCTTGACAACAAGAGCGCGGATTCACTGCTACAGACGGCACTGTGTGGTTCCTTTGTTCGTCTTTACACAAAGAAAAGCATGCTCCTCAGTTATTTTTGGGCAAAAGATAAAAGGAATGCTCTCATATCTACTTATTCCCACCTGAACAGGCTCTTAGCAGTATGCCTGACTATTTCAGCTGTCGCACTATTCCACCAGAGCCATAAACAAGGCTACAATAATAGTGATGTCAAGGTGACATATACCTTGCTATGGTGTACCGCTGCTCTAGAGGTGTACGCACTTTTCGGTCCCAAGTACAAATTTTTCACCTGGTGTAAGAATGTTGCCCAATACAATCTCGTAGGATTCTTCGCCCGGGACCAAACGCCCACCAGGTTGCTCAAGTTGGCCAGTTGTTTTTGGTGCAAGGACTATGTGGACCAGCACTGGTATGTCAACCAATGCTCATCGTCTTTCGCCATCACAGAGCTTGTAATTGAACAGGTTAAAGCCGGATGGAAGAACTACATAGAAGATACCTCCACCTACTGGATGTTCAACGATCGCAGAGGCCAACTAACCATTCAGCATGAGCTTTGCGATGAAGAGCTGTGCAAGAGCTTAGATGTGCCATTCGATGAGAGTATCATTGTTTGGCACATTGCAACTGACATATGCTTCTATGAGGGTGCCCCTGCAGCTAATCATCATCATCTCAAGGCTGCCACTCGATGCAGAGAGATCTCCAACTACATGTTGTACCTGTTGGTGGTTAACCCGGATATACTAATGTCGGGCACCAGAGCGAACATCCTCTCCAATACATGCAAGGAGCTTCGTAGCATGTTTGAGGATGAGAAGCCACCGTCTGATGAAAGTGACCTTACAAGGGAGATACACAGAAGGGCCCAAAGCTCGAATGTCGACGCTGCTGCAACCGAAGAACTGATTCCCCGTGCATCCAAGCTTGCGAGCCAGTTGTTGGCCATGGATGGCGACAAGAGGTGGAAGGTGATGCAAGGTGTGTGGGTGGAGATGTTGTGCTTCTCCGCGAGCAGATGCAGAGGGTACTTGCACGCCAAGAGCTTAGGCCAGGGAGGGGAGTACCTCTCCTACGTGTGGCTCCTCTTGTGGTACATGGGCTTGGAGAGCGTGGCAGAGAGGCAGCAGAGATCAGATTTCAGGAGTCACGTAGAAAGAGTAGCCAGCAGACAACTACCGTGTACCGAAACTGAGAGCTCTCAGGAACCGAGATTCAAGAGGAGGAAGGAGCAGTTGTGCCATTGTTTCAGGAGGGAAACATAGGTGTGGCCGTTAGATCAAATGTTGAAGATGAGGAAGCAGGAGCAGTCACATTGGAAATTCAAGATGATGAAGAAACGGCGACGACTACACATGCTTCCAAAGCAACTGTCCCGGGGGACAACAATGTCTGAAATTCGTGTGGTTTGTCTTTAGTTTGTTGCATCTCCTTGTTTTTATTTTTCAATTGTCATGTTTGTTGGTGTTAGTGTTGTTGCTGGACTCTTTTATGTTGTTGCTACTAATACTTCTCTAGCTTTGTAGCCTTATAATAATAATAATAAAAGACTGTGTGTCTGATGATCATTGCTACAGTAAGTGACCTTTACTGTTATTTCCAACTTTTCACCACAATTGTGTGCATATTAGTTGTTGATATAAATGTCCACGCTTTTTGTCATTAAACTCAACGAATTGTTCTGGGGTGCTATGAATGCAAGCTATTCTTGAGTACCTCAACCTCCGGACCATCCTGAGATCTTTGAAGCAACCCACTGATCAACCGGATTCTCTTTCTTGAAAGTGGGAACCATCGGGGGAGTACACTTCCTGGTCGGCTTACCAGGTGCTATATCTGGGGAGAATCCCATTCCAACCAACGCCAATTTGATATTCCTTGGCTCCTCCACGTTGTCGCTACTTCGTTTGGGTGACCGTTCTGAACGGGTGTTGAGCGGCCGACCGTTTACGCGCTCGAGGGTTGCCGCACCCTGATCGTTGTGTCCTCTGTTATCAGCATGAGAAGTCGATCACATTTTGGTCATGTGTCCGGAATCCCGGCAACTCTAGTGGCTCGTGCTCACAACAAACGGATAGCCCGGTTGCCTGCCAATGAATGAAGACTCCTTTCACCTGTGGATTTGCAATAGTCGGAAGAAGATTGATAAAGCCCACTGATGAGGTTTCAACACCATTGCAACTCTTGTAGTGTGGACGATCGATCTAGAAGGAAAGAAATAATCGGGTCTTCAGTCAACAACAGAAATCTTTGTCCAAGGTGACGTAGGCGATAGCTGCTGACGCAGCACTTTGGCGCTTGGCCAATGCGGTGGCACCGGCGATAGGATTGTAACTGCCTAGAGCCCATGGTCGCCAAATGCTTTTGTGAGAATAGGCTTTGGTTGCTTAGGCTGTGTTCGGCAGCCTTGGTTGGGAACCCATGTCCCGCGCACGGAAAATAGAGTGGTCCATTAGCACATAATTAATTAATTATTAGCTGTTTTTTTAAAAAATGGATCAATACGATTTTTTTAAGCAACTTTTGTATAGAAACTTTTTTTTTAAAAAAACACACCGTTTAATAATTTGAAAAAACGTGCACGCGAAAACGAGAGGGGGAGTTGGGAACCTGGGCAACGAACAAAGCCTTAGTCGTTCCTGTTTCATGTCTCCTTCCTCTTATTTTTCCTTTGAATTACCTTGTAATTAACCTTCATTTCTTTTAATACATATTCCTTGCGTACTCCCAAAATCTTTATGTGCTCTCACAAATTGAGAAATACAATTTTGACCAATCTCGCCCAGACAAGTTCTGGTGAGTTAAGTGTCTGTTGGTCTGACACTAATTGTTCGTGAGCTCGGAACCGGCGTGTGTTATGTTTTCATTTTCTGGATATAGGGAAAAAAATTGCAAGGCCCAGAAAACTCAGAACAGGATCCCGTGCCTTTTCCAAGGGACATGGACTATGGTGAAAATCTGACAAAAATCACGTGATAATTAGTTCAACACCATACCTACGGCTGTGTTCCTAGAACAGTGCAAGCACCCACTATGAGGTACCACAGGGTGACCCGTAGGATGAAGAGTTGCAAAGACATTTTCTCCACTGTGCAAGCACCGATAATGGGACCCACAGATACTACTTTACCAAATCCCCTCGTCAGAGCAGCATCCTCCCTCCTCACATTACGCCCTCACCTCCCCCAACTCCACTAGCTCTCCCCTTGCCCCTCCGCCGGCGCCGGCGCCCCTCCTCCCTCCGCCGGCGCCGGCTCGACGATGCCGCCTCTCCCCTCCCGGCCCTGGGCGGCGAGTTGACGAGCTCCCCGGCCGCCGCGCCGTTTCTCCCTCCTCCCCATCCGTCGGCGCACGATGCAGAGGAGCGTGGTGGCCTCGGGGACGAGCGGCGGCGGCGGTCTCGGGGCCGAGCGGCGGAGCTGGCGGCGGCCTCGGGAACGAGCGGCGGAGCTTGGCGTCGACCTTGATTTGTGTTACCGCGATTTGTGTTGGCGATTTTTCCAAATCCCCTCGGAGCCGAGCGGCGAGCGGCGATTTTGTTGCCGCAATTTTGGTGGGCGTGTTCCTTGATTTGTTGCCGCGATTTTGGTGGGCGATTTTGGGGAAAACCCTTCAATGGGCAGCGCGAGGGCACGAGCGGGCGGAGGCGCGGGGCAACGCGCTCCACAACGTAGAAAAGCTGTCAATTCCTCGCCTGGCATGGGCCTGCGGCAGGGAGGAATCGTGCTTCCCTCCGTGGGAGAGAACGTCTCTGCTGGGGCGCGGAACCTAGCGCCACGCAAAGCTCGATTCCGACGTGGCGCCCCATAGCGTCGGTCCACGGTGTTGCACTGTGAAGGGCCTTACCCCATGTTTCATAACCTATCTCTCTCGTTTTCCGCGCACACGCTTTTCAAACTGCTAAATAATACGTTTTTTTAAAAAGTTTTTATGCGAAAGTTGCTTAAAAAAATCATATCGATCCTTTTTTAAACAATAGCTAAGTTAATTAATTACGTACTAATGAACCGTTCCCTTTTCGGTGCGCACTGTTTTCGATTGGGAACACGCTAGAACACAACCCTAACGTCATATACTAATACTCGTATTCTTTGTTAGAGAGTTTTTTTTATTATTTTAATGGTGAGGAGTCGTACTCGTACTCGTATTCGGATCTTGAGTTATTTATCACGAACGTATAGCTAGTACGCACGCACCTGCGGACCTGCCTCTTGTGAAGGCCGTAGAGAAACCACAGGAACCGGGAGGATCGCCGCCGCCTACAGACAGGATGCCGTCGTCGTCTTCTACGCCTGCAGTAACGATAACGACGAGGGAAAGGTAAACTAAAAGCAACGTATCTCCGTTTTAAAATCCTTGTGTTTCTCGTTTTATCTCAAGTCAAAATATTTATATCTTTAATCATTAATTTTGAAAAAATTATATAGTTTAAAACCACATAATTTATGTTTTTTAGATTCATCATGAGAAACACATCCATAACACGTAATTCACAAGTTGTTAAACTACATAAATTTTAAAAACTTGATGATCAGAGATAGAAGTACTAAGTTCATGGAAAAACTAGAGCGTCAAGTAATTTGAGAAACGAAGCGATTATTTATTTGGTTGGCTCCGTCAAAGTCGAACCAGCAGTGTTATACCAAATTGTTATGGTTATGGATACCACATACCTAATAGTAGTTGACTAAACTTAGCAGGGTCCACCACATACTGTCTTATACGAAAACAAACCTCGTATACAGAAAGAGTTTCGGATAAGAAAGGACGAATAGAGTTCTATATGGAAACAACAAGGACTACTCGTATTGTATCTATATTGGTCTCCATAGGATAAGAAAGGACGAATAGAGTTCTATATGGAAACAACAAGGACTACTCGGATTGTATCCATATTGGTCTTCCTAGTTCTATATGGAGAAGGGGACATCTATGGGTATAAATACAAGCCCCCCTAGGAGGAGAAGGGACAAGTCACAAGACATAACACACACACAAGCCAACACACGCCGCCGGATATCAACATCAGAAATAAGCCTAGACATAACCCATCCGGTGCCTACGTAGGTTATCCCAAATATTGTATTTGCGTGATCCAGATGAATAAAGAGCAACACCTGCCTACGTAGGTTATCCCAAATATTGTATTTGTGTGATCCAGATGAATAAAGAGCAACACCGGCTTTGGCCAACAGGATATATGGCTATTACCTATCAGATAAGATAAGGGGCCCGAACCTGTATAAAAATCCTCGTCTTCATCTCTTTTACCTCAATCACGCATATACTCTGGTACCAACGATCCCCATACCATCCAAATACCGTAGTCGCGATCCCAACCGTCGACACAAATGATATAAAATTTATCAATAAATATAAATACAAGTAATTTAAAGTATTACCCTAACAATCGTCCCTTTTTAAACTTTTTTTCTTATCTCAAACAACCCCTCCTACTTCAATTCATCCCTTATTTAATACTCCCTCCATCCCTTATTTACGTTCTAAATCTCTACTATTATAAAAATTAAAGACGTTTCTGCCGTTACTTTAGTACGTCATCTATGTATGAGTCGGTTTTTAAGTTTGTTTATTTTTGGAAATACATATCTATATTTGAGACTGTTTTTAAAGTTCATTCGCTTTTAGAAATACAGAAGAAGTGAAATACAGAAGGAGTCGTATAAGAAATCTTTCTAAAAAAAACTCGCATGCTAACTTGAGACGAATGGACTCTTATATATAGCTCATGATTTTATAAAAAAATATATATCCAAGCAAATTCCCACAGTAAATTTTACCTTAACTAAACAATAAACAATAATAAGATTAAAATAGTATCCATCTGTTGTAACACATGGGCATTTTTTCTAGTATAAAAAAATACTCCATAAGCAAGGGCTTGTTTGAATGAGGTTTTTAGCTATGTGCCATTAAAAAAGATGACCCCTGCCTCTATGCCACTAAAAAGTTCTAGCCTCCCAGAATGCCATCGTCGAGCTTTATCGCGCCCTACACACCCTTCCGTCCGTTTTTGGTCCTAACGGTGTCAAATGGTGCAGCGAAATGACTATTTTGCCCTTAGGGTGAATAGGCCATTTTAACATGGTAGTTTCCTTGTGTGCCATTCGGACGGCACCCACAGGCCTATTTTTTTGGCGCCAAAGACAGGGCTGGTTGGCGCCAAAGGCAAGGCCCTTCTCCTTCTATATATAACTCTTCCCAATCCATCTCCATCTCATTGTCCTCTCTTCTTCTCCTATCTTCTTCTCACCTCTCTTCTTCTGTAGCCATGTCCCAAGCATCCAACAGCTATGGTGGTAGGGTGAAGCGGGTGCTTTGCCCCAACTGCGGTGTGCTTGCAAACCGGTTCATGTCAACAACAGAGAAGAACAACAACCGTGTCTTTCACAAGTGCCCTTATTTTGCAGTTTGTGCTTCATTCTTTGCTGACATCTTGTATTTTGGTTGTTTTTTTTTGCTCTTTGCTCACAATGTTTTGATGGTCTGGCTTTCAGATTGGGGGATGTCAGTATTATCAGTGGGAGGATGAGATGGTGGACAGTGCAGTGCAGGCACT